AATATGGATCTAGCACAGGGTATAAGAAAGTAGAGAGAGATGAAGTCAAGCAGGTAAACTGTGCTGAATCCATCAGTTTATGGACCACAATAATGAATTCCTGAAAATGAGGAGAAAGTTAGAGAGCTTTAAGCATTGAGCTATTGAAGGCAGGTCACCCAGACTGGTGACCTTTATCCAGGAAAAGAGGGCAGCCTGGGATAAGAGGAAAACACGAATAAGTTCACTAGCTGATTGGGTGGAGAGGTATGTTTCAGAGAGATTTGGGAAATGGAATCCAAAGTACTTGTTATCTGATAAGGTACTGAGAAGTCAAAGGAGAGAAGGATCTCAAAAGCCTTTATGGCTTCTGTTAAGGACTTGGGAGGATGAGATGCACATTTAGAGATGAAGTTAAGGAATTGAATTTGTGCATTTTGTATCTGAGATGTCACAGGGAGAATGTCTATTTAGAGAAATATATTCAGTTGGACAGAAGGGTTCAGAGATAGAGAATGAGGGTCAGACTATGTAATTACTTAAATTCAAATAGATTACTGGAAAAGTCTGAAAGCTAAGGAGTCCCTAAACTCAAGTCCACTTTATGTCTGCAACACACTCTAGATGAGAGACTTAATATCATCAAGATGAAGGGAAAGCAGGTCCTTCTGCTTCAGAACTCATTGTTAAAATAATTTCGCTAGCTAGGCAATCGATAATTACTCCTATTTCCTGTTAATTACAGGAGACAATGATAATCTTGCTCTTGTAATTGTATTGCTCCATTCCAAAAATCTAACAGCTTCTGCCATGTAATATGACCTGAATTCAAGCAGACGAAGAAAAGAGAAGGAAGATTCAGCTGACCATGGAAACAATTCAAATGTCCATCAGTCTTTTCAAGTGTTGGAATTTTAGCAATGGTATAAATACATGAGCAATAGATTAAGGGAACAGATACATTTTAGGAAAATGTTAAGTTAAAAAAAAAGGTAAGCTCAAGAAGAGTATGGCATACCATTTTCATAAAGTTCAAAAATAAAGTTTTAAGTAATATATTATTTATGAGCTTAAAGTGTTAAGATATTTTAAAAAGCAAATGAATAATCAACACACAATTTAGGATCCAGCCTATCTGGCAGTGTGTAAGGGATTTGGAAGTAGCATGTAAGTGGCTTCAACAGTAAGTACTTCATGACTTACACTTTACACATGTTGCTCTTTCCACGGTTTCTTTTCTTGTAGAGCTGGATATGAAGCCTGCTTTTATGCTATATACATTCATATATAAGAATATACATCAAGCACTATAAACCCTTAAAGAGTCATTTAACTCAGTTTAGTCCTTAAACATGACCCTGTCCTGATAAAGAAGCACCTTTATTGTGAAGTCTTACTAAGCGCGCACACACACACACACACACACACACACATACACACACACACACACACTTACTTTACAAACAACATGGAATACTGAATCCACTAGAAATAATTTTCCTGCAACTTTCCCAAAAAAACTGCACTCTGGCTAACTTAGGACAATTCACAGACCTTGTTAAGCAACAATGAAAGTGTATGTGCCTGAAGAGGAAGGGTTTTTTTCAAGGCAAGGTTTTTCTGTGTAGCCCTGGTTGTCCTGGACCTAGCACTGTAGACGAGGCTGAACTCAAATTCAGAGATCTGCCTGCCTCTGGAGTGCTGCTATTATAGGTGTATGCCATCATACCAGGCACAGTATGCCTTTTAACAGACTAAAGCAAAAACAAACAAAACAAAAAAGGCACAAGTTATATAAACAGAAAAACAGAAAAAAAAGTAACGAACAAGATACATAAGGGAAAACAGACAAATAAACCATATGCTAGTAAGAATGGAAAATGAAGCTGGGTGGTGTGGTACATTCCTTTAATCCCAGCACTTGAGAGGCAGACGCAGGAGGATCTCTGAGTTCAAGGCCAGTCTAGTCTACAGGACAAGTTCTAGGACAGTCAGGGCCACACTGAGAGAAATATTGTCTCAAAAAAAAAAACTTTTACTGGAAAGATTTCTTGCAATAATATTTAAAAAGTATATACAGACTTCATATTCACAGCAAGAAGATACTTACAAAGTCATCTCCTGAGTCGGCTCCCATAGAGGCCACAGACTCCTTGCTCACAGACCGTGGGATTCTAGTGGAGCCTCCTGGCCTCTGAGCAACAGCAGTCTCTTCTGCAATTTTCTTCTTTAGTTTTGCGAACATTTTTGCTGTGTGGCTATCTTGCAGGGGGAAATAACCCCTGAACTTCTCAGTGAATGAAACAAAGACACAAGTACCTATAAAGTTTCAGGCCTCTAGTCTAGCTGCATCCCATTTAAATGCAGGCCAAAGAATTGGTAACACAGTATCTATAAATCAGATGAAAGAGATAACTCCAAGTTAAACACTGGAAAGACTTCCCATCCTCATGTTAAGCTTCAGATTTCATAATAAGTATACACACGTATAATAGAACACAATTATTAAACACTTAAAAAGCACTCAGGTGCTTTACTTGCATATATGGGTAAGAACAACTGGTCTGCGAGGCACAATAAAATGCCTAGGACTGTATAGCTAAGTCACAGGGGTGGTATCTGAAGACAGAACCCTCTGACTCATAGATTTCAACTTTTTGATTTTGTATACTAGGCTAGCAATTGCATAAGGCACATAGTAAAATTTCCCAGACCAACATCATGTAATCATGACTTAATGCTTTTGAATCTTTCTTCTAACAATGTTTACTAAGAATTAGTGTTTTTTTCTCTTTAAGTCAAAGACACAAAAGTAAAAAGCTACAAAACATGCAAATAATGCAACCCCTGGTTTTCAATTAGGCGCTTCCTCCTAGAGGGAAAAAAAGTCACAACACAGAAAAACAAAACTAAAAACCCAAGAAACCTGGACTCAAAATGGGCATCAGATAGTCTAACTTTCCATATCTGTGTGGAAATGTGCTTCATAATATTACTTCATGCCACAATTTCTTTTCTTCCCATAAGATATTTAATATTAGATTCAATTTTTTTTGTCAGTAGTATATAAAACACTACTGGGCCAAATGTGGTGTGCAGGCCTTTAATTCCAGCAGAGGCAGAAAGGTCTCTGTGAGTTCAAGGCCAGTCTGGTCTACATAGCAAGTTCCAGCCCAGCCAGGGAGGTATGATGAGATCTTGTTTCAAAAATGAAGCAAACTTTTTTTTTTTTTCCAAGACAGGGTTTCTCAGTGGCTTTGGAGGCTGTCCTGGAACTCACTCTGTAGACCAGGCTGGTCTCGAACTCACAGCGATCCACCTGCCTCTGCCTCCAGAGTGCTGGGATTAAAGGCGTGTGCCACCATTGTCCGGTACAAAGGAAACTTCTACCGTTCTGTTTCAATCTTAACTTTTGCGTCTTGTAAAGGATACACTTTGCTCTAAGATGACAGATGATTCATTACCACTTCAGATTATCCATTAAGTCAGATTATCCATTAATCCTTCAAAAACTTTATCCCCATTATCTGTAAACGATTGTACTCACCTGTCTTATCTACTATATTTAAAACATTCTGGAGGTCAAAGTCACTGTCCTGAGTGAAAACAAAGATAAAATGGGTTGGATATCGAAAGAAGAGGGGCAGGGATGACTTAAATGGCAAACACCTTGTCACTACTGTCAAGAGGATGCCCCTCAGTCCCTGAGAACAGCCTGAATTTCACTTACAAGCCTACATTCATTTCTTCCTAGGAGTCCTGAGCAAAACAGCTTGAATTAGTTGAAGGCTTCCCATGGACAGTATTTCTCAGCGGATTTTCACATAGTATTTACCTTGTCAGACCTGGTAGTCTGGTCCCTGAGTCTTAACTCTCACTAAGTCGCTGGAGCAAAAGACAGCAAAGTTCAGGAGATGCTTAGGGTCCAGAGGCGCCGGTCACCGCGATTTTGAACCCACTTCCTCTGGCTCGCTCCGGAGCCGTGTCCTCGATAGGGCTGTCAACCCAGGGAGGGACCCAGTCTGTTTGACAACAGGAAGGTTGCGCCCCAGAAAGGAGTGGTTACTTAACTAAGGTCGCAGGGCGGCTGGATCCCCAGGCCAAGGGGGCCGCTTCCGCCCCCACCCCGACCCCCCGAGCTTTCCAGCTCCGCCCCCACTCCGAGGCCGGGCTCCAGCGCGTCCCCGCCGGGCGGCGGGCTTCCCGAGGCCGCGGGAGGGAGGCCTACTTGCTTCCCGGGGCTCCGGCTGCGCACTTGCTGCTTTGGGAGAAGCCGGCGCAGCCCCGCCTCCGTGGACTCTCCAGGGCCCACAGAGCGTCACCAGCTCCCACCTCCGGCCGGCGAGCCGAGCGCCAGCACGGAACCACACGTTTGCCGCGCGCCGGAAGTGGTTGTGCGTCAGCGGCGTTCTCCGCTCGCGCATGCGCGAGCCAGGCACGCGCGGCGGAGGCTCCCGGCCGTTGGGCTGGAACGGTAGCTGGAGCGGGCGCTCCTGCCTTGGCTGCTCGCCACTGCCACCTCACCAAGTGCAGGGCCGTCGGTCGCACCCGGCTGCCTCCCACCGCCGAGAACTCCGCTTCTGAAGTGGGAGGAACCCCGGGGCAGGCAGTACTCGAGGGCCAGCCTTTCGGCTGCAGGAACCGCGCACCTTGTAACATTGCGAGCCGGAGTTCCTGTTGATCATACATTTCATACAACCGAAAGAAGTTTCTAGAACCTCATTATCCTTGCTGCCCAAGACTTCTATATTCCTCAATTCCAAGTCAAGCGTTCTATATTAAAGGAACTTCACTCCTGTCCCAGAAGCAACACCAGTCCAGGGTTTGTTGATTTCATCTATTCTTACACTTCTCCATGTTTTGGTTGTAGCCACCAGGCAGGGATAAAGCAAAATCAGTACTCTCAAGTCTACAAAAGTAGCGTTATACGCGTGATTCGCTAACTCAAGACAGCTAAAACCGCCTGAGGTATATAACCCCTAGCAAGGAAACTGCTATCAATAATACTAAAATACACAAACTTTAAGCAAATAATGTTTATTTTTATATTAATGATACACTTAATATATACGTGATTCAAGATACAAAATTCATTTACAAGAGTTCACACTTGAATGTATACACATTCCTAGAGTATTTATCAATGCAAAGTTCTTTATTACACTGACCACAAAAACCAAATATTGTGTAATCTTGTTATTTAACAAACATCAAAACAACATTTACTTTCCATCTGCTAGTGTTTAAGTGCCTTCAGTGACAGGCACTGTGTAACAGGAACGTGCATTGCCATGTCTACAGAACCTGCCCTGCAGAGTCACAGTATTTACTCTGAGATTCACGGAGTGAAGACGTGAACGGCTCCCATCCTTTATGAATGTGTTCAAGAACTTGCCAATATCTAAGGTCTATAAAATGTTAATTATAACAGACAAAAGCAGAAAATGACTGCTGGAAAAGAACAAAACAAAAAACCTAATAGACTGTATGGTTTAAGCAATTTAGAAACACCAACAGACAAGACTTTTACAATAACACAAATATTCAAGTCAAATGATACTATAATTTCCCCCTTAGTCACTATAGTCTCTTCAGAACTTAACCACCAACACATAAATTTTGTGAATCCAACAGTTTACTGTATAACAGAGCTAGCTGACTGACAGATTTATTTTAAAGTATTAACTCACAATACCCAATTTTAATACAAATGAACAAAACTGTCTCAAGGATGATAGTGATCTGTAAACAACTAGACAGACAACCTGTTAGCTTTGTTATTTGCATGACAGAGAGCACTTGGATAAGAATTGTTACATGAAAATTGTGCTTCAATCTCTGAGAGCTAAGAAATATAACTCTATAATCCCTACGTGTTACAATTCTATAACATTTCAGTTACAGACAAGCACATGTTTTTAATAAAGTGTTTCATACTACTAGTAAGTCAAGTATATTTTTTGCTATGATTTCAACAAGTGCATTTCTGACTAACAAAGTAGACAATAGTTTCACCATTATTTTTAGGGTAAAGAAGATCAAACAACTTTGAAAATTTTTTACTTGATTAAATTAACCTTTAGTGATACTTTGAACAGGCTAATTAACAGTCTTAAAGTGGAAACTGCTCAGGAAATAACAAAGTTCTGTGAAATTATACTAATCTTTACAGCAATGTAAAATAATTTCTAACTACATGTGATTCAGTGACAAATGCAACTACTACTTATATTGGTGCTACACGTGAGAGTAACTTATCTGGGGAAGTTCCTTCCCTTGTAATCTCTACTAAGAATATGTTAGGACACTTATCTGCATTTCTTTGTATGTAAGACCTTTCTGCCTCAATCGTAAGAATCCCATAGCATACAGTACTCCAGTTAAAGATCAAGGATCATTAAAATTAAAGGCATTAAAAAGAGAACCGGAGATACAATTTTGAAGACTACAGTGGCATTACTCTGATTCAGTAATGTTTACTGGGGAAAGTGGTAACATCATTTGACATTTTATCATGGTTTTGGGAGGGGGAAGTTTCAAGACAGGGTTTCTCTGTGTAGCCCTGGTTGTCCTCTGCCTTCTGAATGCTGGGATTAAAGGTTGTGTGCCACCATTACCCAGCTATAATGGCTATATGCTGGTTTCATGTTAAAATTCATGGTTCAAATTATAATGTTTTGAACCAGAGACCAGTGGACAGTCATGGCAGTTTTAAATGAGGTAAACAAAACAAAACAAAAAACTGATAAGGGGTTGGGTATTTAGTTCAGTGTTGGAGCGCAAGGACTTGGGTTCAGTCCTCAGCTCAAAACAAAACGAAACAAAACAAAACAATGATAATATATCTTGCACTGCAGACCTCTAACTAGCCATAATTCCTTTCTTTAATTTGAAAGTGATGTAACTCAGTCCATTAATTTTCATTTCATAAGCCTCTGAGAAAAATAAAGCCTGAAATTTGAAATTAGTGATACTGCCACAAACAATACTACATCTAAAAAGATGGTTGTCTTAGGATATAGGCTAGAATTGTCTGTGACCAAATTCAGATTGAGTTTGTAAGCAAATCTGTACAATGCAATGTACTTTAAATTGTTTTTAATTCTCCAAATCTACTGTCACAATATGTGAAGCAAAACAAAACAACGTAAAACCACTGCTTTGAGTAGTCTGCTAAGGTAAAACAAAATTTAAAATCACAGAAAGAAATGTGAAATGTGAAATGGTGTTCCAGTGTTGTGTAAAATGGAATTCTATACTGATTTTCACCCAAGAAAACAGTTATAGAACTCCAAAGAAAATACTTCTATGGTACCACATTAGTTATGTTTAATTCATTTAAGCTTACCTAGTCACATGTTCCCCTGTATCATTGCTTTCTTACAAGCAGGCGATTATCCCATCCACACATAAATCATACTGCATTAAATACAAACCATATTGAAAATTAACTTCTTGTGCTCAGCACTCAGGGGAAATGGGGTTAAGTATAGATTTATGTTTGGAAGGCCTAGTCTAAGGATGATGAATCAGTTTTTTTTTAAATTTTCATTACATTAAGTGGTCCCAGTATTCATGAAAGACTTGGAGTTGACTATGTATACAACATCAGCACATAAGCATTCAATGTGGGTAAAAGGTTTGGTTTTCTCTGCAATTCATATTTTATTCAACTGCAAAGTTACCAGCTTTGTAACTGGGACAGAAGTTACAGGTGCAACATCAACCTTATCTACTATGCTTTAAAAAATAACTATTTACGTGTGAGTCTTTTGCCTGCAATATGTCTGCATCACATGAGTGCAGCATTAGCAAAGGCCAGAAGAGCTTGTCAGGTGCCCTAGAACTGAAGGCTGTGAGCAGCCTGTGGTGTTAGTAGTGACACCCAGGTCTTCTTTAAGAGGCCTCTTGATCGGGCACGATGGTGTATGACTTTAATCCTAGCCCTTAGGAGGCAGAGGTAGGAGGATTTCTGTGGGTTCAAGGCCAGCTTAGGACAGCCAGTACTACATAGTCTGTCTCAAAAAAGCAAAAAAAAAAAAAAAGATGCTTTTAACTGCTGAGCCATCTCACCAGACCCTAGTTCAACATACAATCTACTACCTGCTTAACCAACATTACAGCTTCTGAACATTTTTTTTGAAGGAATTCTCAGAAATAACACATTAATGCATGTTAGTATATTTCAAGAAAAGGCTAACTAAGAGCATAATTGTAAAGTGTTATGAAAAGCTAGCTGCTTTATTAACAATGGGGAGGCAAATTAAATAATTTTAGAAGTTGTAGAATTGATTTGAACGGATTTTTCTCCTTAAAACAATTTAATGTTAATAAGAGAGGTTTGGTTTTTTGAAGAATGAAGTAGAAAGTTGCCTTGCAGTTATATTTTACAATGCAGAAATAACTTTACTCTTTTCAGTGACAATACAGAAGTGTGTTTAAACATCCTTTATATTCATTCATGCAAATAAACACATGAATATATACTACTCTGCAATATCCCAAACATTTATAAACTGGCACTGAACATATTTTCTATAATGTTACTGCCCTCATTAAGTCTTTCTATTATTTTTGAGCCAGGGTCTCCTGTAGCCCATGCTCTGTCTCTGAACTTACTATGCAGCAGAAGCTGGTCTTGAACTCTTGATTCACCTACCTCCTTTCAAGAACTGGGATTACAGATGTACCCCTATGAATGAGTGCATGTGTGTGGGCGCTCACACGCAGAACGCTCACACACACACACGCGCACACACACACACACACACGCACAAACGCACACACACACACACACACACACACACACACACAGTGCTTAACTGAAAGTCTAAGGTTCCTTAGCTGCTCTGGCACTTCATACTACACAATCTCCCTAGAGTGTAAATATATGGTTAAATTGTAGAGCAAAAGTATTCCCAGAGAGCTCAGGAATGAAAGTGGAGGCACTGAATTTGCTGGGAGCATTTTCTTTCTCAGATGAACAGACTCATCTTTGATATGCAATGCCAGTAAGAAAAGTCTACTTAAGCAGACATACGCATCAACAACCCAGCTCCTCTCTGCACCCACTGAGGTTTGGCCTTCCTTAGCCCCTTCTTCTTTCTGCCTCACAGAGACACACGGAGAACGAGCATATAGATGGAAAAAATTCAAAAATTAAAATTTAGCATCAGATATCGAAATGATAAACATGTATTTCTTTTACTTAAAAGCTATTTCCTATTTTCAAATGTAATGTTCTCAGTAGGCCCAAAGGTCCTAATATAAACAATATTCTACTCAATAGTAACACTCAAATATGGGCTAAGAAAAATAAGGGTAAGACCCTGCTGGTGTCTCAGTTTCACAATCTTAGGTTTTCAGGTTTCCAGCAAACTTATCAATTTAAACTGAAGTTTGTAGATGACCATAAAGTTGAGAATGTGCAGCCTTTTCTTAATATCTTCATATCCTAATTTCAACTCTAAAGGAGCCCATTTTATCTCAACACAAGCCCCTTAAAATTGAGGCCTGTGAATGAGATCCAGCCACAAAACAATTATAGTAGCATGAACAATGCCACTCTGATGTCCTCACAGAACTAAAATAAATTTAGCCCACAATGGGTATGGGTATAGAATATACACACAATGCATAACTGCATACCAAGATATTTACAGATATGTACACATATACACAGAGTTTATGGATTGCAGTTAGCATCACAAAATATACACATGCCATTAAAAATAAGAATTTCAAGTAAGTTCTAAAAAGAACCCTCAACCTAACTACTCTTTAAACCCTCCAAATGAACACAAGAACAGAAAATACTCCCAAGTCACTAGGAGTGTCAAGGCATTTAGACTTAGATTCATATTGTCTCATATACACATATGGTGGACAGATGATTTTGGCAGTGGCCAAGTTCGCAGGTGCTGTGTCACCAGTCCAGAATATTCTCTGGTTATTTGGGTGATTATAAGTCTGCATGGATAACTGAAACTTTTCAACTAGGTTGAAACTCCTCAGACACAGACCCTGACTGAGCTTGGAGAAGAATAACTGATTCGGGTGTCTGATTTGGACTTCTCCCTTGACTTCAGTGAAATTCAGTACCATTACCCATTTAAGGGAATTCTATTGCATGATGGAGAAGAAAAACAAACCCAACTCCAAACCCAGAGTCAGGAAAACCTCAAGTAAGATCAAATTAGACCTCAATTCCAAAACTGTGAAACATTCCACTTTTGTTAAAAATATAAAGTACACAATCATTTCTGTGCTTTGAAAGGTTTTGGGAGCACCACTTCCTAGGAAGGAAACACTTACATACAAAGGATATATATATATATATATATATATATATATATATATATATATATATATATATATATATATATATCCTGACTAAAACTAAAGGAAAACATCTGATTTTATAATTAATAAAAACATGCTGGGGTCAATGGTTCACCCGCATGAATATTCATTGTACTGGGAATTAAACACAGGGTCCTGCAGATGCTAGGCAAGCACTCTATGATTGAGCCTCATCCTAACTGGCTTGAATATCTAATACAGGGAGAACAAAATCTTAAACATTCCCTCTTGTTCATTACAGAAAGAAGCCTCAGCTACTGGGGAGGGGGGGGGCTGAGAAGAGATGAGTGTTGGAAGTTCAGTCATTGAATAATCAGCAGCTTATCACATCTTAGCATTGTCTTCTCTAGAACAGAAAAGATAGCTGCATTATATCAGAAATATATAGATACTGAAAGAAAACCCCAGTGTATTTCACTTTGCTTTGTGTGTAACTGGTCTCTTGCAGTTTGATGCTTCCTAGTTGGCTTACAGTGACTGTTTGTTTGTTTTTCAAGACAGGGTTTCTTTGTGTAGTCCTGGCTGTCCTGGAACTTGCTCTGTAGACCAGGCTGCCTCTTGAGTGCTGGGATTAAAGGTGTGCTCCACTACTATTCATAGATTTTTAAAAAAGCTTCAAATTTCCTACTATAGTTTTGCTCTCAAAAGATTCAAGATCTCTTAGCAATTGTTTTTGAGATGGACTTTTGCTATATAGTCTAGGTTAGCCCTGACCTTGAACTCCTCCTGCCTTAGTCACCTATGGACTAGGCTTATAGACACACATCAACATACCCAGCTCAAAATTGCTTTTACTTTTTTGAAATTTTGTTTTACTCTAATGATGGAGACCAAACACAGGATTTCTGAATATTAGCTAAATGCTCTACCATTGAGCTACAGCCTCAGTTTTGGTCCACTTTAGATTTTTTACTATCATTTAGGAATTGCGTCACTATTAGTTTAAGGGACCCTGTTACAATCTGGATTTACACTATGATCTCTAAGACACACATATTTCTGATCATGGAAGGACAATCTCTCTAAGTCTCAAAACATCTAAGTAGGACCTAGGACTTTTTTTAAAAAAGCCTTATTAAACACGATGGAAAGGATGTTATAGTGCTAAAAACACACAAATTTTCTGGAAGCAATGGGGGAGAAATCAACATTTTTGGAGTCAAGGCTCCCAACTGTTTGGATCAGACAGGACTAGGATCTCGGGTGAGCCACTGTGCATACAGAAAAGTGCTTAGAAGCAGACACAGGAAGCTACTTGCCAAAGGGCATCATGCTAATCACCAGGAAAGCCAGGGTTAGAACTCAGACTTCCTGGTTTTGAAACAAGTAGTCCTAATGCTTAGCATCAAAGGATTGAACACAGAACAGACAGGGCCACTGTAGATGACAGGAAACAGAAAGGTGTATGCTGCAGACACAGCACTTAGGGACTGGACCAGAGGCAGACAGCTAATGATCATGTGTTGCCACCGTCCAGAACAAGAGTTAGGAAAGGAAACCACCATACATTATGGTTTTGCAAACAAAATGGAGGGAAGAACACACAAAAAACTTGGTTATGTACTGAGTCCTATTTAAAATATTAATAATAAAAATCTGTGCATGAATATAAAATAACACAGGGAGTTTAAGTATCTTACTTCCAAGGTGTCAAAGCAAAATCAACTCATGATTTACTTTCCTAACACCCAGTTATCCTCACCTCACACTGACAGTATGTCTGGTACCGAAGCCTTGAAAACTGGAATAGGAAAAAGAATTAGAAACTGTGCAGTGAGTATACCAATGAATCCATCAAGACACCATTTAAAGCTCGATGTTGTCAATGAATAGTCTATGTAGAAATTCTACTGGAGACAGTGCAGAATTTTGGCTGAAATATTTAAAAGTATTTTCCAGCATTCAAAAACCACAAAGAAAATAAAATATACAAACAAATCTCGTGATAGTAGTATTCACATTCTAAGTGAGCTCTGTCACCTCACAGTCCCCACTGAAGATTTAATTTCCAAATGTAAATCAATCCTAAACAGACTCTAAAGATTTGACAACATTGAATAAAATTCAGTGACTGTAAGAAATCCCTGTGTACATTATTTTCCTACCTATTAGTGTGGAGTGAAAAGAAACTCTACAGAAGGGTTTTGCTCTTGATTTTCAGTAGTCCATGTGGCAAGTCTCACCACTATGGACAGTGAGATATTTCCAAAATTCAGACATTTAAAGGTCCAAATATAACTTCTGGATTGTCCTCATTATGTAAAAATAATTTATTCTTCTTAGGGAGGCAATAGTACCTAATTGAATGTAGGAGTAGGTGTTGGAGGTAAGTATCTCATGTCAAAATCAAAAAATAAAAATTTCAAGATTGAGGCTTCAAAATACTTGAAAGATTATATCTTAAAAGTTACCCTAAAAGTTTGAATGTTTTTCCAGTTTGCTTTTAAAATGGTGGTTCCTAAATTCACAAAAACCGAGTAACTGTCTCTGTCACCACATTAAAAACGGCACCATTTAAAATCTGTGGAAGATGAAAACTGTTAAACAAGAGGGTTTTAATAGTCGTCCATAGAATTCTCAAAGAAGATGTTTCGAACATCCAGAATGGAGGCCAATTCTAAAATATGCTTCTGAAGGTGAGGATTCTCCACAGTTTCATCCCTTGGCAGTTGTGGATAGGATTCTGGGTAATTTCGAGTTTCCTGGTAAATAAGGAAAGTCATGTGTCACAGTCTTATGGGAAGAAACTACTCAGTTTGACAGTATGAAAGTGTAGATCAATATTTTCCTCTCTTGTCAGTTATTATTATTAGTATATGTGCTTTTTGTTGGTTGACTTTTAGGCCCTAGTATAATCACAAGTTCACTTCTGTACTGAATTCCTAACAAATGACAATTTTAACCTCTCAATATAGATTCAGATGGGTCAGCCTAATACTGAATTATTTCACAAATATTTGTTAACCTCTATGACTGTTAGGCCCAATATTCTATACCGTTAACAAAACAAAACATACAAATCCTGACAGAGATCCACACATGGAATTAAAAAAAACCTCATTTCATAAATAAAAAATGATGCAATAGAAATCAAAATGAGTGAAAAGACAAAATCTAAATTAAAAACTAGGAGAAAACCTTTGTAAACTTAGAAGAGATTAGATTTCTTAGAAACCCAAAGAAAAAAGAAAACCTGATTAGTTGTATCTCTGGAACATTTCAAACTTTTGTTATCGTTAAAAAGCAAACAAACTACCACAAAAACAAATAATAAACTAGCCAGTCAGCAAGCAGATGGAAAGATTTTTACCACCATTACTGATGAGTAAATGCAGATTGGATCCCACCCAGCTGGTGAGAATGTACTCTGACAGCACCCAGTGTAGCTGGGTATACAAGCAACTTTCATACCTCATCACGGAGTGATAACGACCTGCTTTAAGAAAAGGTCTTGCAGTTTCTAGAAATGGAACACACAACTTTCTGCCAATAAAACTCAAAATGTGGGAGGGAGCAAGCGGTTGTGAAGTGAAAGACACATTGTACAAAGTGAACTCACACCAGATGGCAGAAAGTCATGAGAGAAAAGCAAAATAGAGACGATGGGAGACACTGGGTCACGTTAGTGGAGAGGACTGAAGGGAGGAGCAGAGGGAGAGACGTCTGAGTTTCCTCATGATTGACTATCTTTGAAGAGATAAATGAAAGATCTTGTGTTGCCACACAAGACACAAACTAAGTGGCTGTCTAGTAGGTGAGACAGCATAAAACAAGACACTTCTATTAAAACAAAACCTTTTCTGTAAGTGGAAAATTAAAAAAAAAAACAAAATATGTCTGCGAAGACTCTTCTTCTACTTGTATTGAAGAGTTTCATTCACTAGCTAATGACTTATAACTGCCAAGGTGATGATTGACAGTAGACTACTGCTCAGAAGTAAAAAGAACTAAGTGGAGCTGGAGAGACAACCGGTTAAGAGCACTTGTTGCTCTTGCAGAGGACCTGGGCTTGTTTCCCAAAACCATCCAAAACTCCAGTTCCAGGACATCTGCCGCTGTGGGCACCAGACATGCATATGGCGCACATATACATATGTAAGCAAAACACAAACAAAACAACACAAACAACAAAAATAATGAAAAAGAAACAAGCCACTTGTCAGTATCCAGGCATCTGCATTGGCCTGCTTGGGGTTCTGACAGGACACGCCCTCAGTTGCAGCCACTAAGAGCACCACCTGGGCACATTCACCACGTTCCCTTTTAAAGGGCCTTGCTCATCTCCCGTCTTTCTCTCATTCTCTCTCTCCCCCTCCATCTCTTCCTTCCTTGCTCTCTGCTTCTCTGCCTGTCTTTCTGCCTCCCTCCCCCTCTCTCTGCCTCTCTCATCTTTCCTGTTCTCAGAGGCCAGTCTCCCCTCGCCACTTTTATCATTTACATTCCCCCAATAAAAAAACCTCAAGTTCTGTCACATGGTTTCCTTCTCTCTCGAGACACTTATAAATTACAATGCCAGTGATAAAAGAAACAAAATGTGCCCATCTTAGTAATCGCTTTACATAAGAGCCTATCAAATGTCATTCAAGTTCACAAGGCAGTGTAAAACTATCATGAGTAGTGATCTATGATGTAGTGGCTTGTAGAATCACCCGAAGGGTGAGGAAGGAAACACTCTGGTATCTGTGTGTGACCTGGCTGTCCTTAGCTGGCTCTGTTGACAAGGCTGGACTAGATAGAACTCAGAGATCCACCTACCTCTGCCTTCTAAGTACTGGGATTAAAGTCGAGTGCCACCACTATCTGGCAGACTGCATTGTTTTTTTATTTATTTATTAATTTTTAATTTTTTGGTTTTTTTTTCAAGACAAGGTTTCTTTGAGTAATAGCTCTGGTTGTCCTGGAACTCACTCTGTAGACTAGGCTGGCTTCACAAAGATCTGCTCTGCCTCTTCCAAGTGCTGGAATTACAGACATGTGCCACTACTACCTGGCCACATTTAGTTTTTTAAACACCTTGGCTGGGCTCAAACTCAAAGAGATCCTCCTGACTCTGCCTCTTAAGTACTGAGATTAAAGGTATGCACCAACTACTATTATATCATTTATACAATAAAAAACACCCAGAAATAATCCAAAATGTCTATTATTTGCAGAATAGGTAAGTGAGACACAGTCAAGCCAAAGAACAAACACTATAATAACAAGGCTTAATTGCAGCAATATGTCATACATACACATACATATGTGCATGTACCTGGGTGTGCAAATGTGTATGTATAATATATATACATATGTATGCATATTTATATACATACATACAAATAATTTTTCCAGTGCTGCTGCTGATTGAACTCAGGGCCTTGTACATATGAGGGGGGCATTCTACCATTGAGCTATGTCTCCAGCACTTAGAACACAACTAAAATAAATCAATATAAATCCATTTATATACTAGACAGAAAACAAAGCAAACAAATTTTTTCTTTTCTTCTGAGAGAGGGTTTCCCTGTGTAGCTCTAGCTGTCCTGGAATTCACTATTTAGACTCAACTGGCCTTAAACTCAGTGATCTGCCTGCTTCTGTTTCTTGAGTATTGGGATTAAAGGTATGTACCACTACCTCCACCATGTAGCAACAAGGTTTTATTCTATGTATACAGTGTTTTGTCTTTATGTGTGCCTACAGTCAAGAAGAGGGCACCAGATCTCATTACAAATGGTTGTGAGCCACCATGTGGTTGCTGGGAATTGAACTCAGGACCTCTGGAAGAACAGTCAATGCTCTTAACCTCTGAGCTATCTCTCCAGTCCTGAAAGGAGATTTTTTTGGTTTTCAAGACAGGGTTTCTCAGTAGTACAAGATTTTAATAAAAGGTAAATGATCACAACACTCATTATCAGCTGCATCTGAGGAGAGATTTGGCAAGATCCACAACAGTCTTCCCAAGTAAAGTAAGTTAAAAAAAAAAAAGACAAGTGTCTCATATATCCCAGGCTGACCACAAACTCATTAGGTAGCCAATGAGTAGAGGACTTCGACCTCTACATCTCAAGTGCTGGGAAAACAGGCAGCTCATGAAAAATGTTCCTAATGGGAAACCTACTGAGTACTGGATTATAACCATGCTCATCTCAAAGCTGCACATGTGTTCTTCTGAATATCATTCTGAATCTAGTTCAACTTTATTTAGTGTAAATAAAATATAGTACATAACTAGAAATAATGGACTGAAATGGTGAACTTGATCTTTAATGATTTACTGCCTACCCGGAAGGCCTTGTGCATCCTCATGGTGGCTGAACAGAAGACAAACCTTGTGAGAAGCAATCGAAGAAATTCATCTCCAAAAAACTGGAGAAAGGCCTGATCTGCAAAGGAGAAGGTGACAGTGAATGGAAGCAATGTAACAATGATACTTCAACAGGGAACTAAGTTAGGAAAGCCTTCATGACTTCCCACCTGGGACAATTACCTTTAGAAACCCAAACAAGTGATAGTAGGAAACCATTTTAGCCACTACAGCAAGCGTTGTTAAGTGTGCAGGTAGATTAGCAGGGTACCTATTGAACGTGAATGGGTCAGTAGCTGGGCAATATCACGGTTGATTTTTCGAAGATATTCTTGACACTTTTCCCACAGGCCTCTACGCATGCTTGACAATCCAGACACAAATAGGAAGGCCATTAGAGGATTGTTCAAAAAGAGGGTGAAGAGGCTACCTCGCTGAGACTGATCTGTAATAACAAACATGTTTCATACAGACAAGAGGTTTACAAAAGGTTAGTGAACACATAAAGGATATTTTAATATACCAATAACATAAAATTAAAGCTGTATCAATCAATTACAGTTCAACAATATAAATTCTTCATGAAGCTTTGAAAACACATCCTAGGCATAATGCCTTCTGAATAAAATAAAAACACTGAGCCTCCTTCAATTATAAAATAATAAGTACACATAATTCTGTTCTTTTCTTTTTGGCTTTTTGAGACAGGGTTTCTCTGCAAAACAGTTCTGACTATCCTGGAACTAGCTCTGTACACCAGGCTGGCCTTGAACTCACAGAGATCTGCTTGCCTCTGCCTCCCAAGTGCTGGTATTAAAGGTATGGGCCACATCATCTGGCTTAAACACATTTCTTATTATCTTAACACCAACTAACCAATTTCATCCGAATATGGCAAGCAATCATGATATAAATACCTGATGAGCATTTGATCTGCCAGTTTTCTGATTCCTTGTTCTTTCCCTGCAACTCAGGTCATTTTTGAGATGGGGTCTTATGAAGCCTAGGCTGGCCTTGAACTCAAGAAGTAGTTAAGGACAAACCTGAACTCCTGATCCCCCTGCCTCTTTACCTCCCAAGTGTGGGATTATAGGCATGGGCCACCATACCTGTAATCTGCCTGGCTCTTCAATGCCAACATTTTGTTTCTTTGGCCTACATACTGCTGATCTCACCAGCTCCTAGAGTATTAGTTACTACTCGTGTTCACAGATGCCTAATTGTTAAAGACCTGGGCTGAATTCTCTAGATTTGGTTCTGTGCTGTCCTGTGATCTACTGTACATAAACTGGCTGCTCCAAATTATCTATGAAAGTATCCCAGACTTCAGAGACTTAGTATGAAAAGGCGTACTGTTAATAGTCACTAGGTATGTAACTCATCCTACATTTCTACTAAACAGCACTGGACTAGATTCAACTCCATTCTCAGAAAGACCCTGAATTCAACCTATGCTTTCCCCTACAGTTTTCTAATGCAGGTTCTCATCATGACTCAGGTTTTCTACCAATACCTGAGCCACAGACTCCTGTCTTCTTGCTTTCTGTTTCCTAGTCTACCAGCAAGTCCTGCAGCATCAGTGGATTAGCATTCAGTCTCTGTTGAGCTCCCAACACTGTCATCTGGCTACTTCCCTCAATGCCCGTCCAATTTGTTCTCTCTGTGTGGTGACAACTTACTTGTACAAACAAAGCCTGTCTGAAGGTCAGAGAATGTAGTTTGCCACTAGCTAACCATAGAGGTTTGGAGGTCTGTACAGACAGGGAGTGAGGTAGTTGGGCGCAACCAGGATATAAGCTGGGAGAAACAGGAACTCAATCTCTTGTCTGCTGAGACACTAAGGAGGTAAGGTGTGGTGGTGGTTTGTTCCTTCTCTCTGGTCTCTCAGCATTTCCCTCTACATCTGACTCCAGGATTTTAATGGCCACGGGACTGGAAGGAACAGAAACTCTGTCTTCATCTCTGAATGCTCTTTTATTCTCTGTTTAGCATCTTTCACTCAAAGATTCCCAATTCAAATCATATCAATCTTTAAAGGGTTTTTAATCATTCAATCACACAATCCCTTCAGACACACTACTTAAACTTCTCTAAATGCTATAGGCACTCATACATAGCTCCGGGCTATAACAAACACATTTTTTTTCCGAGGCAGGGTTTCTCTGTGGCTTTGGAGGCTGTCCTGGAACTCACTCGGTAGACTAGGCTGGTCGAACTCACAGAGATCCGCCTGCCTCTGCCTCCCGAGTGCTGGGATTAAAGGCGTGCGCCACCACCGCCCGGCACAAACACATTTTTCTGCGGGAACTTTCCTGTGTGGTCACGGCCCATTCCCATCCATTACCCCCCTTTCCTTCACGCTGATTTGTCAGCAGCAGTTAGTCGCTCGCACCCTTATGCTTCCTCCTGTTTGGTCACCTCTATCTTTCATTAGATACTGTCTGTATGAGAAACGCAACTGGAGTGTCAGCAACACTGTCCCCTACTGCCTAGCACAATGGCTGATGAACAGATCTTAAAAACTGTACTGGATGAATAAAGTATGTCTTGACTAATTATAGCGCTACAGATACCAAAAGTGTAGGAACCTTATCAAATACATATACTGCTTTGTGGCCAGAGTGCCAAGCCCTTTTGTAGAGGTCAGTAGCAATAATGCAATGGAATAAATTCTAAATGTTTTCCATAGTAGGATATTCAATCTGTCTGGTGGCTGAATTTTATTTTAAAAATATTTGTAGTCTAAGCTTTATAGTGTAAAGATAGGATGCTGGGCAAAAATAAATAGATAGATAGATAAACAGATAAATGATAAAGACACGAATCACAACCACACATATTAACACCACAAACTGAGTACTTTCTAGGTACCTAGCCCAATGCTTCAGGGTCAAGTACTGTTATTATTTCCATTTGATAGATGAACTAACTGAGGCACAAAATGGCTGAACAGTATTCCAAAGTCATACAGCTAATAAATGGCTAGGCTAGGACTCAGATTCAGCTGGCATGCTTAAGTCTGTGCTTTCCTCTGCTGTGCAATGAAGTTCTAACTGAAGTTTGATATTAACCCACTTGATCATGTAGTTTTAAATAAAACTACATTAGAACAGGATGATGACAGCACTCTTTAGTATTGGGAAGAGGTTACATTCCTCCAGAAACAATAAGAAATAGGATGCAAAATCCTCAAAGCAGGAGAATTTTACCGTTGTTTGAAGGTAAGTTCCATCCCTTAGGATTTGGCTTGGTTTACGTGAACTTACAATTGCTACAAGATTTCCCTGTTAAACAGCAGAACTTACCTTAAAACAACGGTGTAAGTCTCCAGCTTCTCTCAGGCATTCAAGTGCTGACCATCACTTCCTGTGTCAAACTATGTCAGCAGACAGGACTTCAGGCTGAGAAGCAGCAGTAAAATGCCATCTCCCACAGAGAGACATCAGCACTATTCACAGTCAGGGAGATAGTGAAACAGTGACAAGTACCGCTAAGACAGTGTCAAGTTTCACTTAGCATTTGACCTAGGAAATGACTGGGAGTTAGAATTAGATTTTATGTGTAATGGATGGAGACAAAATACTAAGGGCAAAAGGCTTTCCCTTTGTAGCCACTGGAGAAATGGCTCAAACAAATTTGTCCTTCTGGTGAATTCCGAAGAGATTTTTATTTTAAAAGTACAAGATAAAAATGCAAAGAAAAAGACAAAAACAAAAAACAAGAAAAGAAAGTTGTGCCAACTCATGTATCCTAACTCTTAGACATAGGCTGAGAAGTTTCCTAGACCAGCAATTGTACAGTCTTCAAAGATGCCTAAGGTACATAACCAACGAAAATCAAAACCAGTTTTTAAATCTAAAAACTAGGAGCTTTCTAACAGCAAGAGATCAAACCACTTCTTTCTCAGAATTGAATTCTCTAGTCACAGCACAACAGGGGAGCATTGTCAGCAAGGATTCCAGGTGTATTTCAGATTGACACTTGCCACAAAAACCATACATCCATGTGTAATCATGATGGGATGCTTTCATTGACCTACTGGTGTAGCAGGCGCCGAGAACATACCTTGTAAAGCCTTTGGATATGCAGTAGGAGAAAGCAAGCAGACGAGTGGCTGTCCAAACAAGTTTGTGAAATTCTGCAATATATAAGAATTTAAGACTTTTATTAAAGACTTGACAAACTGCAGTTACCTAGTCATTTTTCAATGCACATAACTGGTGTATAGATTGGGCTCTTTAACTTACAAGCAGATGTAGAAACAGCATCAGTTGCAGATATGCAGTTCATGTTTCATTACCATGCATGTCAACTTGCTAAAAAGGATTGCCACCAAAACACTGAAGTTCACTATGCAGACTACTGATTTTCCAAGTAACAGCAGATATATAATTGTATAGGTCATCTGGGTCTCTAGAAACAGTGGTCCCACTGGATACACCATAGTGAATTTTCCAGGAGATCTAGCTTTCAGCCTCAAAGGCTCTGGGAATGGGTACATCCCTTACTGAATGTCATGGCAACAACTCACACAGGATGATGCCAACATGCTCATTACAGCAAGAACTAAGTGGACACTCATACTGCAAATGCAGGATTCTGCATAATTTAGGATATCATTTCTCTAAAGGCAGATCTATTAAAATAGATACAATTTTAATAACATAAATTATTTGGTGAAACAACAAAAAGATATAATTCCTAGGAATAAACTGAGTAAGTCAGAAAGTTAGAAATTCTAAAGGATAAAAAGAAAGACAAACAAATGGAAAGGCGCATTATGCTCTTACAGATGAACCCCTTCTAAAGTATCAAGATAATAATGCATTGAATTTTAACCAATCTCAATGAAGACAGCTACAGGTACCCCGCCCCCCAGGCCCCTGCAACAGAAAAATATTCTGCAGAAGTCCACATGGCAAAATTAGTCAGGAAAGTAAAAAAGATGACTATCAGATATTAGGGTATACTTAAAGACGTCAGTAACTGAAATGTGTGGCATTGGTACAAGAGTGGCCAAAAAACAAAGGGAAAGTCTAGAAAAGGATCTGCATACACATAGGACCTCCGTATAAATAACACAGTGACCTGGAAACACACAGGACTTCTGTATGTACAACACTGAGATTTTTTTCCTCACATCTAGAAAAAAACATGCTGTCTCCATATTTCATGCTATATATGTGAACATCAAATCAATAAAAAATCTAATGAAAAAAATAAGCAGTAAAAGTGGTGACTAAAAATAGAGCAAGTTATTTTTGTGGCCTGGAAGTCCTTCCTCACTACTATGATTGCTAACATTAATATACTAGCTACATAAAAAGCAAAAACAGCTCAAAAAATGCAATAGAGCCATGCAAGCTGGAAATGCTCTCAATTCAGAACTTGGAAAATGAAGTAGAAGGGTCAGGAGCTGAGGCCACCTGGGTTCCATAAGAGCAGTCTCCAAACAAACAAACCCCACCACCACCCTCAACAAAAAACACCCAATCTTGCCTATCATGTATGAAGTTCGGGGCTCCATTCCCAGCACTGAAGAAGTCCACCACAGCATTATTCCACATTTCAGAAATGCCTGTGGGTCCTAGCTCAGGATAGTACTAAAGTGGACAACACTATCATTTATTTCCTCAAGGCCTCTTATTTCTGCTTGCTAGTCAAATTCTGTCCTCTGACATACCTTATATACATACATGCACATACACACAAATATTTAGCAGTTATTACAGTAGGTCTGAGATAGCTTATAAAGTTAGCTTTATTTGGTTTCTGGAAGTGATGCATGGGAAGACTCACATGATTAGGCTTATGCTGCCTAGATGGGGCAGATGGGACGCTTTAGGGGAACCCCAATATTCCCTTGCCTGGCAGAGGATACCCTAATGATCAGTTTCCAATAAAAGCCTTGACTTTGGGCTGGAGAGATGGCTCAGCAGTTGAGAGTACCTACTGCAATTCCAGAGGACCCAGGTTCAATTCTCAGCACCCACATGGCAGCTCACAACTGTCTGTAACTTGAGAATCTGACAGCCTCATACAGAGATACATGGAGGCAAAACACGAATGCACAGAAAATAAAAATAAATAATTATTTGGAAAAAAAAGGCCTTGACTTCAGTTCTCTAGAGGGTCAGTCTTTAAAGTTTTGTGAGGTCTTATATAATCCAGGTTGCTCTGCCTCTGATCCTCCAGTTTCCATGTCCCAAGTGCCATGGACAGAAACCAGAGCTTGCCGAGTAGTGAAGGCACACACCTGTAATCCCAGCACCGGGGAGGCAGAGGCAAGAGGATCTCTGTGAGTTTGAGACCAGCCTGGTCTAAGGAGTGAGTTTCAAGACAGCCAATGCTGTTACACAGAGAAACCTTGTCTCAAAACACCAAACAAAACCAAAAACCAAACAACAACAAAAACCCCCAAAACCAAAACACGCCACAAATACCAGGCAAGCTCTCTGTCAACTGACCTGCACTTCCAGCTCTGTAATAAGAATCCCTAAAATAAAGGACTTAATCCACATGGTCAGAATTTGTTGCTGGGGCCGGGCGTTGGTGGCGCACGCCTTTAATCCCAGCACTCGGGAGGCAGAGGCAGGCGGATCTCTGTGAGTTCGAGACCAGCCTGGGCTACCAAGCGAGTTCCAGGACGGCCTCCAAAAGCCAGAGAAACCCTGTCTCGAAAAACCAAAAAAAAAAAAAAAAAAAAAAAAAAAAAAGAATTTGTTGCTGGGGAATGAAGAGCATTCTGTGTGACTCCAGGGCCAACACCCTGGAAGTTTAGACCTGATTTTCTCCAGACTCCTGTTCATTCGTTATCCTTTGCAGATTTTGCTATCTTCATTTTACTGTACTAAGTCTTCACATAATTATATGCTGAGTACTGAGTCCTTGAAATTATGTGCACCTAGGGGTTATCACAGGATTCTGATAGATAATACCGGGTTGTATATATTATTTATTTACTTAGACACAGGGTCTCATGATGTTGTTTAGGTTGGATTTAAATTCCTAGGATGAAGAGAAACTCCTACCTCAACCTATAGGCACAGGTGACCATGCCTGGCATATCAGATTATATCTACATTTTGGTAAAATACTTGCCACATATGCATGGGGATCTGAGCTCAATGCCTAGTGAACATGTAAAAGGAAAAATGTGGTAACATGCTTAAAATGCCATCATTGAGAAGACAGAGACAGTTGGACTTGGGGCTCATTGGCCAGCTAACCTAAAATGACTGGCAAATCCTAGGTCCTAATTGTTCTTGGCAGTACCAATCTACGTCAGAGAAGGTGATGCCATTGAAGAAACTCCACACGGAGCTTACTTTCTTTATGGCTGAAGTTACACACTGGGCAAGGAAGTGTCCCTGCCTCAACTGCTGACAGCATGCTGTTCAAATTGGACAAACAGGACACCAAAAAGAATGACTGCAAACCCTGCCGAGACAAGGCAGGACAGTTCTTTAGAAAACCCTGCTTCACTGAAAAGTCTGTCAGAGATGCTAGGCCTATAGGCTGAAGATGGATGACCCAGCACTGCAGAGGAACCTTGGGTGACTGTCCAGGCAGCCAGCTGTGTCTGTCATTTCTCACATTTTTTGGAAGTCACTTGCCTGTACTTCCTTTTTACTCAGTTAATATTATTTCCTTCTCAGGTCTCTGAGGGAGTTGAAGACTAGATAGTTATAGTTATAGTTTTCCTTGTTTACCAGACTCAGAAAAGAAACTCACTAAAGATGTGTTAAGTATGAAAGGTTTGAAAGACATTAAAAGATAATTTGATAATGCAAATTAGAATAGAAAGTAAATTAGGTTCAAGGCTTTGGACTCACCAAGATAGGATAGATAATGAAATATTTTCTCTGAATTTGTCAAATGTAAATGGACTAGACATTGTTGACGAACTCATTGCCTGCATATATTTTGTATATACTTATTATACTGATTGTATATAGCTTTTCTTATGTTAGTTATCGCTTTCTCTTTTTGTATTAGACAAAAAAGGGGAATTGTGGTGATACATTGTTTATGATTTATTAAAGCCACTAGAGATCAAAATAGCAAAGCAACCACACTAGTTAGCTACAGAGGCTACGTGGTGGTGGTACACACCTTTAATCCCACCACTTGGGAGCTAGAGGCAGATGGATCTCTGTTAGTTCAAGGCCACACTGAGCTACATGAAATATATTCAGTCCTACAGAAAAATAGCTCACACAAAGATGATCTCAGCACTTGGGATCACACACCTTTAACTCCAGGACTCAGGAGAGGTATTTAAGACAGGAACAGTCTCAGAGCTGGAATTCATTCTCCAGCCACATTCTGGATAGGAAGGAATTCATTCTCCAGTAATGCTGAGAGAGGCAGCAGTCTGAGGCGTGCTGAGAGACTATTGCCTCTGAGGATTGTGGAGACAGCATCAGCCATTTTAGCTGGGAAGAGGTAAGATTTACTGGCTTGGCTGCTTTACTTCTCTTCATCTTGAAGCTTGAACACCAATATCTGCCTCTGGGTCTTTTATTTACTGTGCTACAGCCAGTGAAAACCCTTTCTAAAATAACAAGGTGTGGGGGCAAGATGGCTCAGCAAGCAAAGTGGTCACAGCCATGTCTGGTAACCCTGTTTGATCCCCAGAAACCAAATGGTAGAAAAAAAGAACTTACTCATGACCTCCACACATACACAACCCATTCCCCAATACATACCTGTGTGTGTGTGTGTGTGTGTGTGTGTGTGTAACTGAAAACAATTAGAATTTAGGGGGGAATTAGAGATGGGTCAGCAGTTAAAAGCACACTCTATTATTGCAGAAGACCCAAGTTTGTTTCCCAGCACTGATAGGTAAGGCTACTGACAACTGCCTGTAACTCCACCTCCAGGAGATCCAGATCCAATACCCTCTTTTGGTCTCTGTGGACAACCATAGATATTTGGTGTATAATCACACACATGTGCGCGCGCGCACACACACACACACACACACTCTCTCTCTCTCTCTCCCCCCCTCTGTCTCTGTCTCTGTCTCTCTCTCTCAAAAACATGTAAGTTAAAAACTGTATCAAACTGCAAGGCCTGGTGATTCATGCCTATAACCTGGGAGGCTTAAACTGGAGGATCTCAATTTCAAGGCCAAACCGAGCTACAAAGCAAGACTGTCTTAAAATGAAACAGAACAAAAACTCTAGTACTAACTTACATCAATAAATATAGTATCCTTTTAAAAGGTCTATTCTCAATAAATACTCATGGAGGAGATGGAACAGACTCTGTCTCAGATGCTAAAGATAGGATAGTAAACAAATCAGAAAAACCCTGTCTCCCTGAAGATGACATTTGGGCAGGGATGCAAGTGACAGATACAGGCAGGCCTCCAGTAAACAAAATGAATAAATTATATGAAGAGTTCAAAGGTGTGAGCAAACAGCATGGAATTAAAGCAATTACATTAATAGCACAGGTTTTAAAATCAGAATGTTTAAACCCAGCTTTGCTAACCACTTAGCTGGGTGTGACCTTTGGTCTGGAGAGATGGCTCAGCAGTAGAGTACTGGCTCCCCTTGCAGAAGACCTGGGTTCATTTTCCAGCACCTATACAGTGGCTCGCAACCATATAACTATAGTCCAGGGTATTTGGTACCCTCTTCTGGCCTCTACAGGCACTATGCATGTGGTGCACAGGCATTTATGTAGACACAATATCCATGCACATAAAATAACGACATTTTAAAAAGCTTAAACTTTCTGTGCATTGGTTTTCTTATGAATCAAATGAGGATAAGAAAAGTGGCAATGGTAGGTCTATAATTACTGTAGCTACTTGGGAGGCTAGAGCAGGAAGATTATAAGTTCAAGGCTAGTCTGAACTATAGAGTAAGTTCAAAGCCAGTCTAAGCAACTTAGTGAAACCCCACTATCTCTATGGAAAAAGAAAAAGGGAGCTGGGGATGGAGCTTAGTGGCAAAATGCTTGCCTAGTATATGTGGCACTACATTCAAACTCAGTACTAAAAACAGTGATGAATTCTCTCTGTGAGAATTAAATGTGCTCCAGTACATCGAGCATTTAGAAAAATACGTAACAAATATGAGGTACCTTTGAAAGGGCATTTAAGATAGAAAGGGAATCTGGAGTCTGAAGTGGTATAGAATTGTCTTGGGTATGGTCGTTTCTGTTAGTTTGCACTTGTTTGATGAATTTCCAACTGGATACATGTTGGAGGCCCATTGACTCTGGAAACTGTTGCTAACATTGGCTTAAGGTAGTTTTGTGTCTCCCCAATACCTGCACTGTAGTGTGTAATCTCATGATTACATCTCAATCCTATGGGCACACCTATCTGTGGGTGGTCAGGAAGATTTTTATTTAGCTGTATAATTTGATATATAGAAAATATACTAGGATATGCTTCATAACTAGATATATTTGTCCCAGGAAGACTGTAGACACTTAAAAGCCTGCTTTGTTCCTTTGGCTCATACTAACAGAATAAGCTCATTCTTACCTCAGAAGAAGTTCAAACTAGACTAAAGGCTTTCTGTAAATAGATCATAAGTTTAAAACTTCACAGCTATGCACAAGGTCAGAGTTGTGGATGTCCAACCAAGGTTGCTATACAAAGCACCCCAAGAAAAGCACACACTCACAAATACTCAAGCATGTCAAGCATGCTGGGTAGGAGACATGGATCAGTGGCTAAGAGCATTTGCTGAACTTTAAGAGGACCCCATTTCCATTCATAGTACTTACATCAGCAACTCACAATTCCCAGCTTTATAGGATCCAACACCTGCCTCTAGCCTTTGCAGACACTTGCCCCCCCTCTCTGTATATACATAAAAATTTAAAATTCAAAAATAAGCAAGCATGCAAATATGAAAGACAATACCAATATCTGCATATTAATCTCAAGTAAGAAAAGTGAAGGCTAAAAATAGTAAACTATAAAGGGAGAAAGGCTCAACAGTCAGCAAGTAAAGAGATAATGGCTGAGAACAGTCATTAACATGAACGAAAAACTCCAACCTAACAATTCAAATCATTTAACAGACCCTGACATGTTCAAACAAAAGTATAATCATTACAGACTAAGTGTAGAGTATAAGAAGCTAAAAGAAGGAATTTCAAAAGAGCCAGAAAGAAATGGAATTCTGGAATTGGAGGGGGGCTGGCAGGGGGCCAGGTATAATTGACTATGTGGTAAAAGTCACACAAGAGTACAAGCAATTTGCTTACATCAAACGATTTAGGCTAAGGCTTACTTATGATTTAATAAATAAAGCTTGCCTGAGGATTCAGAAAGCAAAGTCAGCCACAAACTATAGAGGTCAGGCAGTGGTGGCACACACCTTTAATCTCAGGACTCAGGAGACAAAGGCAGATGGATCTCTTTGAGTTCAAGGTCACCCAGGTTTACATAAGATTGAATCAGTCTAAAAGAATAACAGAACTCATGTCTTTAATGCCAGGACAAGAACAGACTCAGTATGAGGCATTCATTGTCCAGCCTCTCTGAGGAGAGGTTACAGTCCGGTGAAGAGCTCATGCATGGATCAGCCCTTTCAGCCTGAGCTTGAGGTGAGAGCTAGTGGTGCTACTTTGCTTCCCCGACCTTCAGGTTGAACCCCAATACCAGTCACTGGGTCATTTATTTTTCGTGTTTCAAAGGTTGTTTCATGATAACCTGGTTTTGACAGCCATTTACAATGGCAGAGACCCAGCACTTAAACTTTCAATAATCACAATGAATCTTTTCTTCCCCTTAAGGAAAAAATTAAGAATTTCCTAAAGTTACTGGGGATTTTTTTAAAACTTCCAGCTAATGCTACATTACCACAGAGAACTGCTCACTTTAAAATGAATGGAAACACGCTAGGCAAAACACGGGTCATAGCTGTCACACAGATCTATCACTTCCTCCTTCTGCCAGGAAGCTCATACTAGCATGCAAAGCTCCTTTTCTTCCAAGAGTGGAAAGAACAGGAATTTGGAATGAGAAGGGCATTTACTCTGTAGCATAAAGATTCCTTATAGAAAAGATAAGGATACAGGACCTTCACCTCACCGTTCACCACGTATTTATTAAGAATCTTAAATGTGAGGTAGGGGGAGGACAAAGATATATGTATCCAAATAGCCACAGTGCAGACATCAGGAAAAGCACACACACGCTGATATTCAAAACTGCATATTCTAGGCAGAGGTGTTATCTGATAAGTATGATGTAAGCATAAAGGGAGACCTAACTAGATGATCCAACTAACTAGATGATCCATCTCAGGCATGACAAGTCGTGTTCACTCACCCAGTTTCTTTAGAGCCAGACAAGCAGGAGTTATGATATTCTGAATAAGGTCTTATATAAAAAGGGCAAAAAGAAGATGGGCATTGGTGGCACATGCCTTTAATCCCAGCACTCGGGAGCCAAGCAGATCTCTGTGAGTTCGAGACCAGCCTGGTCTACAGAGTGAGTTCAAGGACAGCCTCCAAAACAATACAGAGAAACCCTGTCTCGAAAAAACAAAACAAACAAACAAACAAACAAACAAACAAAAAGGCAAAATGAAATAGGAAATAGAAACAAGCTATGAGGCAGTGACACAAGCCATTAATTCCAAGGCAGGTGGATCTTTGTGAATTAGAGGCCAGCCTGGTCCACAGAGCGAGTTCCAGCACAGCTCTGGGATTAAAGGTGTGCTCCACCACTGCCCAGCCATGTTTTATTTTTAAAATGAAACTAAACATGAGAAAACAGAAAACATACATGTTGGGTCACCATTCTTGGCCACACAGCCATTTCCACTGCCATGCTAGAATAAACTGACTAATGTTTGCTTCTCCATTCATGTTGATAACCACAGTAGAAGAACTTTCAGGAGCAGAAACAAGAACCAGCTCCGTGTGGACATGCTTTTCCCTAATGAAATACCCGAATAAAACATAAAAGAGAATAAAGCCTGTCTAGTTTATTTTAAATTATGTGCACTGGTGTTTAGTGTGCATGTGTGTCTGTGTGACGGTGTCAAACCTTGGAGTTACAGACATTTGTGAGCTGCCCACGTGGGTGCTGAAAATTGAACCTGGGTTCTTTGGAAAGCAGTCAGTGTTCTGAACCACTGAGTCATCTCTCCAGCCACCAAGGATTTGTCTCAATGGCAAAATATTGCAAAAGTACTTCCTGGTTAAACCATTGTCACTCACTCCAACATTCAGGCTCAATCATGAAAAAACAAAGCACATATAAAATTGTTAATATTCAAGATCATCACTATGTAACATAAGATAGAGTTTCATTTAAACTCTAACAGTTAGGTGTGCAGGAATGCAGTGTTTAAAAACTAGAAAATAAGCCTCCGATATCATCTCTAGCTCTGAAAGAAAACATTCTGGGTTATATAACAAAAATAAACCTCCCACCAGAGATCTTGGAAATCTTGAAAATTTTTTTTCTGCAGGAGGATTTATTATTTTCCACTGAGAGTCCATTCATGCGTTTCTTCTTGTTTCTATTCATAGCATCAGATCCTGACTAGCATGCACAACCTCAAAAGAAAAGAAACACTAAATACAAACTGTAAAATTAAGTAAGTAAAACAAAGCAAAATAAAAGGGCTAGTGCTATATACCTGGCACACACACTCGCTCTCCAGGGACTCACCTTATAGGCAACACTATTGGAGGAGTCCACGATGATAAACAGGGGTTTCCTTGTGAACGGATAGAGATCTCCAGGATGAAGGCTGCAGAAAAAAATCAAAATAAAATAAAACAAAACAAGTGAGGAACTTTGTAACTGCACTCCCAAGTCTCAATGGGTTATTTGTAAATCTTGACTTTTGTAAGTAATGTTGTAATGAATATGGGGTACAGGCATCTTCTTCTTTGTGTGTGTATGTTGGGCATCAATGGAGGCTTGAGCTTAATGTTGGGAATCTTCTTAAACCATTTTTCCCCTTATTATTTAAGGTAGCCTTTCAAGCAAACCCAGAGCATGCTAAGATGTGTAATCTAGGAAGCCAGCTTGCTGCATGAGTTTCTTCTTACCCATGTCCGGCCCACACACACCCAACAATTGCATGGGTTCTGGGATCCAAACCCTGGTTCTCTTGTTTTGGTGACAAGGGCTTAAGCTGTTGAACCACCTTCTCAGCTGTATAGTTCAAATCTATTTATGTATTTATTCATCTGCTCATTCATTTGGAGACATGAATGACTTTGCTATGTAGCCTGCACAGACTATCTTGTACTTGTAAGTGCTAGCATTACAAGCATATGCTATTATACTTGGCCTATTGTAAACTTGTTAACATGTATTTATTTCTTCCCTCTGCCCCCAATGCACCACACACCTTCACCACAGCGCTCACGTGGAGTCAGAACAACTGTGGAGGGTTAGCTCACACCTTCTACCCTGTAGGCGCACGGTTGGACTCAGGTCATCAAGCTTGGTGGCAAGTGCACTCACCTGCTGAGCCATCTCACTGGCCCTTATTTTGACATTTTGAGGAATACCCATACTATTTTCCATAATAATTGTACCAATCAAATTATATTCTCACAACAGTCTTCATGGGCTCTCTGCTCATATCCTCAACAATACTTGATTAGATGATTAGTGACGCTGTGCATATACTCACAAATAATTTGAACATACACAGGCCTGGTTTCCTCCTTTATCTATTTTTCTTTTTTTTTCTTTATCTGTTTTTCAGTTAAACAGTTGATATTTAATATAAAGCATTGCCAGACAAGCCCATTGTTCATTAAAAGCAGAATTCTTTTCTCAGCTAGAGGAATTCTAAAGATGGTTCTGTGCTATAAAAACAGGAAGCAAGCCTTCATACAAGAACATAAACAAGTGCTATTAACAGTAGTCTGAGGGAACCTATCTAGTCACAAAATGAAGTTCCCATTTCTCTTAACATTTAAAGAGTTTTGATCCATAGAGTAAAAAGAAACACTAGAATACATACCAGTGCATTTCCTTGTGGGACTGATTTCGTTTGTGGATTGCATCTCCATTTATAATGTCCCGGTTGCTATTAGTAAGAACACCTCCAAAGTCGTAAGGACCTAAAGAACAAAGAGAAGAAACCTAGAATTCAACAGGAGGGAAACACAGACTGACCTGAAGCTCAGACACAGGAGTACCAGTGAATCTCCTTTTGATACAAGTGCAAGATAAGCACAAAACATTTAAATAATCTTTAAATTTAACATTTTACTATAACACAATATTTTCATAATTTCAGCACACTACCTACTTCAATGCTTTTAAAAATCACTTAATTATTTATCAGCTTTTCAAACAGAATATAATGAGAAACAAAATAAGAATCTACAGTCAGGCATGGTGCCACATCCCTCTAATCCCAGCATTCAGGAGGCAGAGGCAGGTGGATCTCTGTGCCAGCCTACATAGTGAACTCCATAATAGCCAGGGCTACATAGAGAGACTCTGACAAAAACAAGGAAAAACTGCCGGGCGTTGGTGGCGCACACCTTTAATCCCAGCACTTGGGAGGCAGACGCAGGCGGATCTCTGTGAGTTCTAGACCGGCCTGGACTACCAAGCGAGTTCCAGGACAGCCTCCAAAGCCACAGAGAAACCCTGTCTCGAAAAAACCAAAAAAACCAAACCAAAACAAAACAAAACAAAGAAAAACAACAACAAAAGACAAACAACAAACAAAAACCCAACAAAACAACTCAGCAGCAACAACAAAACCAAGAATCTCCAGCATCCCATTAATTTGGGTGGTAAAAAGGGATGGAGACCTGGGATATTTAAAATAACATTTACACTTCGAACAAAATTTCAATCTCTGCTTTAACAAAAGTACCTTACAAAGAAAGCTGCTAACTTGCAAACTGCAGTTTCTCCCCCCCCCCCCATACATGTGTTCAGGACTCAGGACTCTCCTTATGTTGCACAGGCTGGTCTTGAGCTCTGAGGCTTAAGTGATCCTACTGCTTTAGCACCCTGAGTAACTGGCACTACAGGGACACTATTGTATCTGATCCAGTAAACATAATTTTAAATTGACTACTACATGCAAGATTTAAAGAAAAATTAGAATTGAACTTGAAAATTCTGATTAACAAAACTTCATTTTTACAAAATATTCTGCCAAATTCCAGTACATGGAAAATCCATTATTTTACTGTTATATAAACCTCTTTAATTATGGTTTACATGCTAGTCTTTCCCCACTGGTCTTAAGAATTAGTTAACTCTTGTGTAAGTTGAACAGTGACTGTGGGATGTTCAGGTAATCTCTGAGAAAGGTTCATTCAATTAGTACCTGTATCAACTACATAATGTAAAATAAGAGGTCAATAGTCTAATTTAAGACCCACAATATGGCCGGGCGGTGGTGGCGCACACCTTTAATCCCAGCACTCGGGAGGCAGAGGCAGGTGGATCTCTGTGAATTCGAGGCTGGGCTGGACCGACAGCTTCCAAAACAACATAGAGAAACCCTGTCTCGTAAAAACCAAAAAAAAAAAAAAAAAAGACCCACAATATGTGCTTTAGTAACACGTTTTCAAACAGGAGATACTTAAATATAAAATGACTGACATTTAAATAAAGACTAAGGCAGTTGCCGAGTTGTCTTCTTCCCCTCCCTCGTTATCTGCCCGTCAGTGTTCTACTACACCCCATCACCTCACGCCACAGTCGGATTATAGTCCTTACAACACCGCTGCAACATAAAGACTAACGAGCTTTGCCCTGGCTTGTTCTCACTGTAACATTCTACTACTCTGTAGGTAATGCAAGGAAGATGGTGGGTCATGCATTTTATAAAGGAATGCCAATTCCAACAGACAGATGAGGAGGAAAATGTTGAAAATGTTAAACTACTTTTTCTCCAAAGATTTAATTCCTTCATTTTCATCAAGTTGTTAATGTAGTCTGAACAATTTCTGAGCTCATATGTTCTGACACTTTTACATTTTACTCTGAAACAGCATCCCAATATTTCATGAATTGAATCCATAGCAACAAAGTAAAAAGGATTGAAAATAAAATCATAACAAGGACTTGAACTTTCACAGTTACAAAAGTACACTGATTTCTACTAAGACTTTCGACCATGATTGTTGCCTCTGACCAGACCCCTGAGTGTATTAAAAGCTTACAATGACCAACGATGTCAGGTAGATAGGTGGCAGATTCCATAACCCTTTGCAGTGTCAATCATCCACTGCATTTGCATAAATCTACATATGATGCTTTTGACAGATTCGATCTATGTATTCTTTCAGGTCATTTGGACTTCAAGGAACAATAGTTGAATGTGAACAGTTAAGCACGTTCTTTTCAACACTGCAGACCAGTTAAATTTGTAAGCTTCTTTGAAAAGCCTGAGGTGGTCTCTGGGCTGTGGGCCATTGTCTTGTAGAAAATGGAGAAAATTCAAGTCCTGCTCACAGTGGGAGCATTCCTTTATTGTACCTTCACCATCAGAACGACCTGTGGGGAAAACGCCAGTAGCTGACAGGTAAATCAGAAGCACACTATTGGCAGGCAGCTCCTGAAAGGAAAGAAAACCACACACACAAAACCACAGACAGAAAAAACAACAAAGTTTTATTTAAAGTTCAGGACAATGTAAGGCTGTGGGGGAAGTGATGCCGTTTAGCACATTGCTGTCATTTCTGAGAGAATTATCAGATTCCCTTTGTTCCAACTGAAGATCACATGGAAAACTGACTCTAGTCTACATTGCCTCACTGCTGCCCAAAGCTGTGAGCTTATTTTCCACTTTCAACTCCCCATCTGTAGGAGCATGTTCTAGCAGAACTGGAGAAGAGAAAAATCTCCACTGGGAAAAAAAAGGGCAAACTCCCCTCCACACCTTCCTCTATATAAATTTTCGGAAGATACCACGTAATTACCATCATTCCTTTTTTTTTTTTTTTGAGGCTGCATGGAGCCTACACTGGCCTCAACTTTGCTGTGGACTGATATATCCAGGTGGCCCTTGAACTTGCTACTGTGTGGCCAAGACGACTTCTAACTCCTGTCCAAAAGCAGCGTTATAGGCATTCACCACATACTTCTATCAGATAGTAACAACATCTCACAGAGCTGCCTGGGCACAGGACTGCTATACATTCTGTTTTTGTTTCTCAGTTGTTAAGCCCAAAGTTCTTTAGTAATAAAAATCTGGAAGGGAGAGAATGATAATTAACCAACAGTCTCTGACTGATGACAAAAAAAAATCTCACATCATCAGCAACTACCATTCCCAAAATGGCAAGAATCAGAATCACTACCCGAACAGCACTTGTACATGCTCCTAGATCACTATACACTTTAAGTCACAACAGCTTTGAGGGTCAGAATCACTACCAGAACAGCACTTGTTCATAGAACACTTCACACTAAGTTAGGCATCTCAAGAGTGACCAAGTTCACACTTTCCCCACTGCAGGAGAAAGGACTGGACCATACACACCTTAAAAGATGCTGCTAAGAAAGTGTACAGCTGGCTGAAGGTCGGTTTGTAGAGCAGATACTTGTGGGGGTTTTCTCGTCTGGTGGGCTTGTCAGCTGACTCCTATGGTGACACACCCAAAAGGACACTAAGTGTTATTATATGACAGTTGAGTCATCAGGGTCAACAGTCTCTGTTGTTTTTATGCAGTGTCTATAACTGTGCCTATCAGCTTCTCTGTCTTTTTGAGAGCTTTCTGTTTTGTCACAGGAACTCATTACATAGCTCAGGCAAGCCTCTACTAACATGCAACTGTCTGGCTATCTAGTGTGCCTTACAGCTGTGAGGTACCCAAGGCAGGCTTGAGAGAATTCTTACACGTGTAAGAGAAGCCAAAGCAGTAAGAGTTACTACAATGGTAAATGTGGGCAGAGGGTCACCTGTATTCCTGGCTTATTTATCTGGGAAGCTAAATTCATTGGCTCCCTCTCCAAGGCTTGCAACATCCGGAACATGTCAACAGTCAGTTCACTGAATTTAACCTGTAAGAAACATAAACCTGGTTATTAATCTAATAAGCAGAACTTCTGATCTCTTTCTAAAAAAATTTTTCAAGCTAGGGTTTCTCAGTGTAGCCCTGGCTGTCCTGGAACTCTCTCTGCAGACCAGGCTGGCCTTAACTTTACAGAGATCCGATTGCCTCTGTATTGAAAGTGATGGGACCAAAGGCATGCGTGACCACGCCCAGCTTAACTTCTGGTCTTTAATCATATTATTACTCTTGATTTTCAAGTATACTTAATAACAGCTTATATATATATATGTACATATATATATTCATTTTTAATACAGACATTCCATCTTCTCTCACTTTCCTTTCCCCCTTCCGATCCTTTCCATGTACTACCTGCCTTGTTCCTTCTTGAAACCATGGCCTCTTTTTCTGTAGTTGCTATTGGTGTATGTGTTTATGTGTGTGCATCTAAATATACAAATACAACCTGCTCAGTCCACTCACGTGTTACTTATATGTATATGATTTCACAGCTGACCACAGCTGACCAATGAGGGAACACACCCCTGGGCAGGACTACTCTTGCACAGACAGCTTTCTTTAGTTGCCTGTAGTTCTTTGTCTATGGTGGGCTGGCTTTTCTTTGTTTGAGACAGGTTCTTACTGTGCTTCCATGGATGGTTTGGAATTTTGTATGTAGACCACAATGGTCTGGAACTCAGAGAGATCTGCCTGCTTCTGCTTCCCAAGCGCTGGGATTAAAGGCGTGGACCACCATGCCCAGAGACAGCTCATATTTTATTCTCAAACTCTAATTACAAGACTTTCAAGAGGCAAATATAGCAGAAGAAATGTGCAGTGACACTCCTATGCTTACTATCTACTTTGTATACTAAACAGTGTTTTGGTTGTTCATAATGTATCTATTTCCTCAGATGGATTTTAAAAAGCAACAAAACTACAAAAACAGTCCTACAAAACATGGTAACATTTGTTTAAGCTGAGCTATGTCTGGATTCATACTTTATAATTTCTTCAATGTTTTGGTACTACACAGCATTTAAGAGTGCATTCTTCTCTTGGGGCTGGAGAGATGGATTAGCAGTTAAGAGCACTGGCTGCTCATCCAGAGGACCAGGTTCAATCCCCAGCACCCACATGGCAGCTCACACCTGTCTGTATCTCCAGTTACAGGGCTTCTGACTCCCTTACACACACACACAAAACAATGAACATTAATAATACTTAAGCAGAAGATCTAGGAACATGGGATGACAGAACCAAGAGGAGAGGTTTAAAGTATCTTCTTCTATAAAATAAAATAGAAATGTTTTAGTTAAGGTATTTGTTTAGAAAGATTATTCAGTAAAGTTTCAAACTGCACCTCAGACCAGGTGGGCGCATGCCTTTAATCCCAGATTGGAAGGCAGAGGCAGGAAGATTTCTGTGAGTTTGCGACCAGCCTAGCCTACACAGAGAGACCCCTTTTCTAACATCAAAGCAAAAACGTAATACAGTGCTGGGATCAGGGTCAGGGGCCTCATGCAAGCTCTACCACTAAGCCACACCCTAATCTCATTTTTTTTATTTGTTTATTTTTTGGTTTTTCAAGACTGGGTTTCTCTGTAGCTTTGGCGGCTGTCCTGGAACTAGCTCTTGTAGCCAAGGCTGGTCTCGAACCCAACAGAGATCTGCCTGCCTCTGCCTACTGGTTCCTAATCCCATTTAATATTTCTTTTTAGCAGATCAGCAAAACCCTGTTTCTCCTCATCCAAAACTTCACAGGATAAAAAAAGAAATAAAAAAGTTATCAATTACAGTCATTAATACAGGTATTTCTGAAAATATTTAACATTTCAAAACACCAGTGAATTTCCAAAACTGTTATAAAACTGCATCAGAGCCTCAAACTGTTCTCTACCCTTCACCTCTACATGTAGGATGAAACAAGTTCTAGACAGAGCAAGGAGACACCAGCCTGGTTTTCTGTTCTTCCACTGTCAAAGAGGAGGTACCCAAGAGCAAACTCTCGGGACAGAACCAATGCCAGGAGTCTCACTCATTCTTTTTTCCAGTTTGTTTGGACAGGGTCTTACTCTGTAGTCCAGGATGGCCTCAATACCTACTTCTGCCTTCCACATGCTGTGACTATAGGCAGGCATGTGCTACCTCACTTGACTTTTTTTGTGTTCTAATGAACACGCTCTACAGAGTTATAGTTTCTTTCTTTTTTAAAAATAATTTATTTACCTTTACTTTATGTACTTTGGTGTGAAGGTGTAAGATACCCTGGATACAGGCAGCTGTGAGCTGCCATGTGGGTGCTGGGAGCTGAACCCAAACCCAGTCTTCTGAAAGAGCAGGTCGTGCTCTCAACAACTGAGCCATATCTCCAACCCCCAATTTACAGTTTCTTAGTTTCCTATTTTTGAGGTCGTTTGCTAGTTTGGTTACTCTTTTGCTTTTAAAGACAGGGTCTTGCTGGGCACGGTGGCACACACCTTTAGTCTAGCACTTGAGAAGCAGAGACAGGCTCAGTTCAAACATTCTTTTCATCTCAGCATTTGTGAGGCAAAGTTTGAGGCCAGCCTAGTCACATAGAGAGTTCCAAGACAGCAAGGGCTACATAGTGAGATGCTATCTCAAAAATACTACTACGATGACTACTACTAAAGACAGCCTTGTTGCACTGCCCAGGCTGGCCTTAAGTTACAGCAATACTCCTGCCTTTGCAATCCCAAATGCTTGGCTTACAAGTGTGTCTTACCACACCAAACCACTATTAAAGACCTGCTGCCATGCCAGCAGAGCACATACATTCCACACTTCAAGCCTATTGGCACATCAATGCTATGAACTGTACCTTCCAAGCATCTGTGGAAACCAGCCTTGCAGATTGATTATTACCTCTGTTCCTGTAGCATAAGAAGAGATTACCACTCACTGAGGTTTCTGTGAGTTTCCTGCCAACTTTTCTGCCGACTCCATTGTGTCTCCAATCTACTATGCACAATTACATCCCAGATGATCCTCTCCAGGACAGGTGGATGAACAGCAGCAGCAAAGTATGCTGCTATATCGACATTTATCTATATGTACATATGCAAGTGTGATAGTGAAGCCCATTACATGTCTGACAACTGAAACTTAAACAATAGCAAATAATAAACGTTGTGGAAAACTCCCTCTTCAGAGTGCAGCCCTAGCAGCTACCCTCTTCGCCCTGGCCCTTTGCTAGTTTCCTGTGCACTCTGGAGAACCTTGCTGGCTTCTTCCTGTGCCTCCTGCTCTCTTCAGCCCCTTCCCGCCAAGTGCAGCCCTCTACCAGTGTCTCATCTTCCCAGCCCACCAGGCTCTGATAGTGGCAGAACTGTTACTGCTGTTCGCCATGCTTACTCTGGACAACTTCTTACTTTTTGGTTTTTAACCAAAGTACTTTCTCAGAGAAACACCCCATTATCTCCTCGGACTAGCTCAAATCCTGATGTCAGACATTAGAACAATGTACCTCTCCTTTGCCACATCTGTTGAAATGTTATCTAAGTAGCTATTTTGTCAACAATTGTTTTTTACATGTAAACAGGAAGATCCATCAGTGAATGCACTGTCTTTTTACATGCACGCACGCACCCACCCACCCACCCCCCTGGAGATGTGACTAATACTGACTGACCTGGGGATGTAGCTCAGTGGTAAATTAATAAACTAGTAAGCATCTTTCTATGTTATTAAAAATTTTCAACAATTTCAAAGTCAGTATTATATGTATGAACATGGAATAATTGATTTTTAAAAAGATTTATTTATTATATATACAGTGCTCTGCCTCCAAGTATGCCTGCAAGCCAGAAGAGAGATCTCATTACAGATGGTTGGGAGCCACCATGAGGTTGCTGGGAATTGAACTCAGGACCTCTGGAACAGCGGTCAGTGTTCTTAACCTCTGAGTCATCTCTCAAGCCCCAGCCATTCCTCACAGATGTAAGGGATTTTTTTGGGGGGGTTAGACAGGGTTTCTCAGTGGCTTTGGGGCCTGTCCTGGAACTCGCTCTGTAGACCAGGCTAGTCTTGAACTCACAGAGATCCGCCTGCCTCTGCCTCCCGAGTGCTGGAATTAAGGCGTGCGCCACCACCGTGAGGCCATGTTAGGGATCTTATAAGGGAAGAATTCTATGATGGGTAAAACTAACCTTTTCACAGTTAATTTTAAGCATAATTCCTTCACAGTTCTTTACCTGATTATTACAATTACCAATAATGAGCGCATCAGCCAGACACAACTGTCCCACAATCATTCCTTGCTCCAGCAAGGGGGCTCCCGTCTCAGTGAGGCGATTGGACGTGATGACAATGGTGTTATCATCATTTAACACCATCACAGGGTCTGCCTGAAGAAAAAAGAAGCACGTTAATGACAACACAGAACACCACTGTTATTTGTTCTTCTCAAAGTCACATACACACCATAAACATACAACACAGTCATTTTCCTACCTGTGACTGTGACAACTTTTTTTCTCAAGAAATTACCTCAATAGGCAGGGTGTGGTGGTGCACACCTTTAATCCCGGTACTTGGGAGGCAGAGGCAGGTGGATCTCTGAGTTTGAAGCCAGCCTGGGCTACAAAGTGGGTTCCAGGACAGCTAGGGTAGTTATACTGAGAAACCCTGTCTTGAAAAAAAAATGAGGAGGAGGAGGAAGAGAAGGAGGAGGAGGAGGAAGAGGAGAAGAAGAAGAAGAAGAAGAAGAAGAAGAAGAAGAGGAAGAGGAAGAGGAAGAAGAAGAAATTACCTCAATAAATGCTGCCACCTCTTGAAGCACTAGGTTCCACTCTACTTGATCTTCAGTATTAAAGCGATGAGTATAATCTTCAATTTCATCTGACAATTCCTGGTATTAGAAATATCACAAAGAAAAGTGGTTGTTAAAAAATCTATGCAGAAAGGCCATTGAGGTGGACTCAGCAGATAAATGTCCCTGTGACCCAGCTTGACAACCTGAGGTCAATTCATGGAACCCATTTGCTAAAAGGAGAACCAATTCCTGCATGTTGTCCTCTAACCTGATGCCTGTGTGACTATGATGCTTGCACACACAATGAATGTAAAAAATTGTGATCTCATCTAGAGACCCCGGGGGGAAGAATTATACCTGTGAGCCCACCACCTCTAGTACTGGACAATTGGGTACCATTGTGGTGAGTGAATACAGGGTGGAGACAGAGACAGAGACAGAGACAGACAGAGAGAGACAGACAGAGAGAGAGAGAGAGAGAGAGAGAGAGAGAGAGAGAGAGAGAGAGAGAGAGAGAGAGAGAGAGAGAGAGAGAGAGAGGGAGGGAGAGGGAGAGAGAGAATATGATTCATGTACAGGGGAGAGAGGCAGATCAGGAGAGGAGGGTGGTGAGGAATGGTCTGAGGTAGATGTCCTACTTGCCTAACTCAGAACCATGGCGATGGCTGAGCCTGGGCTGTGGCCAAAGGCCATGACTTGGTCTGTGACCCTGATGCAGCTATAGGGATCTGTGTTGATGTCTGTGGCTCCTATTACCAATGAGGGTCCTGTGGATGCTGGAGTCTGGGCCACTATCTATGACCAAGCTGATGTTCAAGGGATGTGCTGTCATTATGGGGAAAGGCATGCTGGTCCAGGATTCCTCTGTCACCACCGAGGACCATGGTGACATCTAGCCCAGACTGCTGCTGGGGACTGTGTGTGGGTCTGTGGCCCTGTTGCTGCTGTGCTCTTGAGTTGATGTCCATGGTTCTTGTTGCCACCAAGGGCCACACAGAGGCCTGCAGTCTGGGCTGACACCTAAGACCATGTTGGTCTTATAGGGTCAAGCTGGTGCCGGGGCCATACAGACTTGGGTGACCTGTGCGCCATCCAGGGCCATGGTATCGTTCAGTTCCTATCTGTGGTGGGAGGCAATATCTGGATCCATGGCCCCACTACAGCCAGGTTCTGTGTTGATGTCCATGGGTCTTGTTACCATAGAAGGCTGAGTGGATACCCGGGGTCTGGAGACATGTTGGCATTTGGGTGCAATGCCAACTAGGGTCACAACGACATACAGGCCTGGACTGTTACCAAGGACCACGTCTGCATCTATTGTCCTACCTACAGGCAGCTCTGTTTTGCCCAGGCAAGATGAAGGGCTGGCGCTCCAGACTGCTGCACTTGGTTGCAGGCAGGGCCAGTCCTTTTGTTCTCATTCTCCCCAAGGCAGGCTCTCCCACCTGTCACATGGCAAGGGTGGGGCGAGGGTGTATTTCCCTCACCCTTGCCATCCCAAGGCATTCCTGCTCTCACATACACAGGACCTACATCCCCAACAGAGTCAGCTCTAGTGCTCTGCCAAAGCAAGGCACTGCGCATGCTCTTCTTTGTGCTGTGGCCCAGAAGTCAGCTGGAAGCAGTCATAGAAAAGAATACGTCATCCCTTTTCCCTGGTTGAGGTGCTAAGTCAAAAGGAAACTCCCTTACATGGGGAACAAAATGGCAATGGATGCAAATGTCACTCCCCTAGAAAAATCTGTCAGCTAATGGCTTAGGGCCTACCCCTCTCAGTCCCTAGCAAGCAGGACCCATGATTGGGTCCTGTCAGTAGTACTTCTAGGAGGGGGTAAGGAAGGGACCAGACCCCCACCCTGCCCCCTGCTTTGGCAGCTGTAACAGGCTGCAGAAAAGACCCAGTAAGATGCAGGCATCTGACTCAGCAACATGTGCTGAGTTCCTGACCTTGTCTGACCTTCCCATCACTAGGAAACCAGCTACCCTCCATGTGGCAAGGAACCAATCACAAGTTAGCTGGTGGGCTCTGGATGTGCTTTATGGTAACAGTGGAGGGCAGCGCATAGCAACTGCCCTGGGAGGGCCTCTAAGCATAGCAACCATTCCTGACCAATCAGGACAGGTTGCCCAAGCCTGGACGTGCACTAATCCTGAGACTGTTGGGGACCCCCAGACACTCCCAATAAACTCCCTGCCCCACAGTCCTGCTGGGTCCTTCTCACTCCACCGTCTGTTTCAGACAATGGAGAACCCTGGTTAATACAGTTAACTCTTAATTGATGAAAGACTCTTTGCTTTTCATCGGATTGTTAGGTGCCAGCTGTGGCGAGGTGCCAAGCAGAAAAACCAGCAGTGCAAGGAGGAGGATGAGGACAAAGGGAGGGGGATGCACCAGCGCCGGTTGGGCTCCCCCGGGTGTGGCCACGACGCCTGCCCATGGCAACTGGGGCGCCCTCCCGGGTTTCAGAGTCAAGACAACAACAGACAAACACACACTTAGACAAAAGGGCCCATCTCAATAACTTTCAAGTTTCAAACTTTCTCAAATGGCCAGACTCCTCTCCATTGCTAGAGCGTCCTACAAGGCCTGAAATGAATGGGAAGCAACTTCCCCAGCAGGCTAATCCAATCTTCAACTGGACCCCCACAAGAAATGAACGGCTGGTCAATCCAACCCTCGGTTAAATACCTGCTCAAAAGGAAAGTCGGGACATTTCCTTGATTACCCAGGCCTGGCTTACAGGCACGTCTGCCAAGGCCCTCTTGGCCTGTTATGACTTCAAGCCAAAACAGGCAGAGGGCCATGACAGAACAGATAACACAGAACTCACCCAACAGGTAGGGAAGCGACCCACTCAGCCTCTCCAAAGGAAACAGAAACAGAAACCAAGGCTCCAACAACCAGACACAGAAAGCAAAACAGAAAGTTACCTCATATTGATGCCTCGAGACTCAATGGGGGGAACAAGGTGGGTTCTGGGATCCTGGACAAGCTCCTAAATGTTGTGCCCAAATTCTGAACCCCAAAACCACCAAGAGACCCACCTGACCCAATGCAAAAGCAAAGAGTCTTTAAATGATTAACAAGTTAACTGTATCAGCTAGGGTTCTCCATCGTCTGACTCAGTGGGTGGAGCAAGAAGGACCCCCAGAGACCTCTGGGCAGGGAATTTTTTTTTTTTTTTTGGTTTTTCGAGACAGGGTTTCTCTGTAGCTTTGGAGACTGTCCTGGAACTCACTTTGTAGACCAGGCTGGCCTCGAACTCACAGAGATCCGCCTGCCTCTGCCTCCCAAGTGCTGGGATTAACTGGGCAGGGAATTTATTGGGGTAGAGTAAGGTGAGTATCTGGGGTGTGCAAGAGTCTCAGGACTGGTGCACTTCCAGGCTTGGACAATCTGTCCTGTGTTGATTGGTCAAGTGGTTGGGGCAAGGTTGGACAAGGTCAGAGAAGTTCAGCACATGTTGCCGAGTAAGTCAGAGACCCACCTCTTGCTGGGTCTTTTCTGCAGGCTGTTATAGCTGCTAAAGCAGGGGGCTGGGTGAGGGTCTGGTCCCTTCAGTGTGAGTATGGGTGAGCTGGACCCAAGGATGTGAAAACAGGAGAACTGGGACCCCCACTCCTTGTTGTCCGCTACACTGGGTGAGCTAGCTGACAATGAGGAAAAGCTGGCAGACTGACCAACCCAGCTACCCAGGCAGAGAACCAGGACTATGAGGTAGCCCACCCCAACATCCATCTCATCTATGAACTGCCCGAGCACGTGAAGGGCCTCATCTGCAGATCCAAATCTATAGCTCCATGACACAGGACAACAGGATATCCAAAAGGAAGGAATCCCAGTGAGGGCCCAGTATCAAGAGTGTAGCAGAAGCCAGAGGCCTCAAACCAGACCAGTGAATCACTGAGATGAATACTTGAAAGGAAAAATATATGAACTAAATGGTATCCTGTGTGACACATTGGGCCACACTATAGCTTCCATACTGAGATTTTTTGTGTGTGTGTGCATTTTTTTGTTTTATTTTTAAATTTTTTTGGGGGGGAATTGCAAGGGCAGAAAGAGGATTCAAGGGTATGGGGAAGATGAGTTGGATCAGGATGCATGATGTGAAATCTACAAAGAATCAGTAAAAATTAAAAAAAATAATCTCCATAAAACCAGCTATATCATAATATTCTTGATAGAACGTAGCAGAATTATGTTGATCAGTATCAATATCCAACCCAAATTATAACTGAAAATAAAGGATGAAAAACACAGGTTTGCTTCAAAATAAAAAATTTCAGAATGATACTCATCAAATAAAAACTTTGTAAAGATCTACTTCCTGCTTGTTGTTATATCAGCAATGAATTTATTAACAGAACTGCTTGAATACAAACTAATAAATGTTAACTAACTGTTAGGACTATGGCTCGAGATGGGACTGTGGAGAATCCCATGGCTGGGGTCAAACATGCCACCAGGCAGAAGGAAGTTTTACTAGTGGGGAGGAGGGGACAGAGACAGAGACAGAGACACACAGAGAGAGACAGAGACGGAGATTTGTCTGCTTCCTCAGAGAAATGGCGAAAGCAAGTGGGAGTGGGTGGAGCTTGTGTCTCAGAGGCACATTAGCACCTTCCTACAGAGCCAGGTACTGCCTGCCATGCATGAGGTCCCTAAGGGGCAGAGGCAGGTGTGCCTGGATTACAACATTGCCCCCTTCTTTCTTTATGAAAAGGTGGCTCATGCGACTAGGCCGGTTCTGCTGACAGTTTCTCCTGCTTACTGACAGTCTTGAGGTGCACTGGGACCCTGAAACCTAGTCACTTTTCCAACTAAGTATTGCTGGAATTATACACCCAACAGCAGCATGTCTGGTAGATCCAACCCCCCACCCCCACCTATGCTTCCATGATTGAGAATTTGTTTCTCAACTGTGGTTTCTCGCTATTTGCCCCTACTCCCACCCTCCCAAAGCCCCAGTACTGGGCAGCCACAGCTCTCTGGTTCAGAAGCCCTGGTTTCTGTGCTTGACGAACCACAAAAATCAGCCTGTGTCTCTCATGCCAAATCCTCCCTTGGTCTCTGGACGCTGGAGATTATGTACTGGGTCTTACCTCACTCAAGGAAATGGGCTTAACCCTGACTTCCAAATGGCCGCTTATCGGGCACTTCCTATCCTGGTATTGCACAGGACATGAACAACTTCCGCCAGTGATCCAATAGTTGGAAAGGTGTGATTTACTGCCCCAAGCCTTTTCTGTTCCTGTGAGGATTCAGAATGCACTCAGGCCGTACCCGGGTCAGTCCAGGGTTCCATGAGTACCAGTCTGCACGCAGGTGCAAAGGACCCTTTAAAAGACAGACCCCACCCACTTATGCTCTCTTACTGGTCTTGATGCTCTCTCTGCTCCTGTCTCCCTCTTCTCATCTGTCCTCCCTCTGTGTCTGTGTTTCTTTGTCTCTTTTCTCTTTCCTTCCCCTTTCTAATAAAACGTCTCACTCAAGCTCGGTCTGCCTGGCATGTTTGTGTCCCCCCACCCCAAGTCATCCTCTCCTGCCATGGAATCCACCATGGTCCCCCTCACAGGACCCCTTCCAGCTTTATCCTAACATTGGAGCAAAACAGCAATAGTTCCTGCATCCTGTTTCGTCTCTCCTGCCTGCCACAGCAGCCTTCCACCGAGGCTACACATGTCTCAGGGCGGGAACCCTGCTTTGTAAGGCTGTTTGTCCTGTCTCTGCTGTTGCTGCTGCCGCCACAGCGCCACCCCCCTTTCCCACCCAGCTGTGCCACTACTGTTTCTCCTCTTCAAAGGTGCTGGAGGCTCGCAGTGGGCTGGGTGTGTCTGCTTGAAAATACTTTGTCTTTTCTGTTTCTTATGTACGAAAAGAACGTACAAATGGTGTGTGGTGAAGCCACACTGTTGTGATTTTGAATGCCTGCGTCCTTTATGTGTGTCCCATAGGGTTTAAAACCTATAAGACACCTTACAACACGTGGACAGGTGCCATCTTGGCTAAGGGCAGGTCAGATGACTTCACCACCATGCTAAGGGTGACCATGTGACTGCACCATTTTGCTTGAGGTTAAAAGATATTTAACAACCATTTTATTAAGGGCAAGACAGATCACATGACCTAGTCTCAGGCCTGCATGGTTCAGCCCTGTGCTGAGCTGGCAGCCTGGCCCATACTCTGCTTTCCACCTTCAAGCCTGGGACAGGTACAACCTTTAAAAGCACCAGGCAAAGCTCATTCATTCTCTTTGCCTAGTCGCCCGCCTGTTAATATCTTTGTCTCTAATTCCCTCTTACAATTTACTCAACTCTTGTTTAAGAAAAAAAAAAAAAGCAATCCTAATGAGCTCTGTTCATGATTACATCTTCTAAAACCCAAAAGTCTCAAATATTTTAAACTGGTATGTATTTTTAAATGGTGATAAAAATGTTAGGTTATAAAGATCTATTTCAGATTAACAAAATATTTACACCACCCAGTCCTTCCTGTAAGCTGTTTCAAGAGTGACCTTCACTACTGACAGTTTTTAATGTTAAGATTCTACCGCAAAAGGGGGTTTTTCTTTACTTCTTTGTCCTTTGAAGGCACAAATCTGACCTGCTAAGTTAAAACCAATTACAGTCAAGCTGGAGGACTCTGGGTAAAACATCCCTCCATAGCCTCTCAGCTTGGATCCAGCTCTTCAGGCAGATCCTGTACTAATGTAGTCATAACTCAGATGTACCCAATAGACAGTGCTCAAATGTTCAGAGATCTAGAGAATATGACATTGAAAGGTTTTGTAACAGAGAATGCCAGCCCCTGGCAGCACCCCATAGAGGTGCTGAGACGTGGACTCCCCTGCAACATGCTTCAGAAGCGGCAGTGCTAGCCATTGAGAAAACCTGCCTTTCACCTCAGCTGCAACAAAGAACTCCTCAGACTGTGGACGACAGGACGCTGAGGAATCCATTGCCACAAGTTGCCTAGGTCAAAAGGTAGGCTGGTCTTGCTAAAAACTTCTAATCCACAGAATCTTTTGAAGTCTGGTAAGCCTCATGCTAACAGCAGAAGGCCAGTGTTCTGAAGCCTCTGCCCTCAACAACTATGGAAGACCCTGGGAAAGTGGATGTCCAGGCAGGCAGCCAGTAAATTTCTATCATTTTTAAATCATTAATTCAGGTAAAATTCATGCTTCTTAAGAGCTCCGATGCTTTTGCAGACTGGTAGCTTTGACAGGTTAAAGCAAAAGGTAAGGTTTCAGCTGCCTTCTCAGTTCTCTGTGTAAAAGTTCAAGTCACAGGCCTCACTCTCCTAGAGCCAATACTGAGTTTACCTCATTACCAGACACAGAAAGGGGATGGACTCACAAAAATAGATTTCAGGTGCTTTAAGGTTTATTTGTGTAAAGACATGAGAGCTTAAGGTCTGAGAGTGGAAAGGACTAAGAAAGTAACCTAAGGGTATGAGTGAAAGTTATGAGGTTCTGAGGCTTAAGTGCTGACAAAGAAAAAGTGATAATGAGCCATTTAAAACAATAAAACATGTTTCATATCTCTCTCATTATGGTACTGTTAAAAAACTCCAAAAGCTCATAATCTTAACATTAATCAATAAAGTTCTGATAAGCTATGAATCTAACTCTGACAGAGTACCAAACACCATACTATACCACTATAACAACCATAACTGCAAGATCAAGATTTTAAATTCCCTTTGGTCATTTTCTAACTATAGACTTAAAAGATACTTTTCATGTGCTAAAATATTGTCACAGTTTTCCAGATGGAAGAGTGTTAATGCTTTCAATCAAAATATTTCTGACATGAATATACTGCCAATTCTACAATACAAATTTCAGTACAGTTTATAAACAGTGGAAGTAGTAATGTGTCTAAAACTTAACTTTTCACAAACTCATAGAAGAGGTCAGATGCGTCCCTCTCTCTGTTACCAGGCCCCAAGCAGCCGAGCCTCTCTGCCCTTCCCTGGTCCTGACACCCTTCCCTTCAATCACTAAGGCCTAAGGAAAACAATTTTTTTTCTCTGAACTTGACCTTGTCCTCTGCTCTGCCAACATCTTGCTAGGTCCAAACAGCATCAGAGAGTTTCTAGAGCCCAGGCAGCAGTAAAACAATCACCTACCCCCAGGATGTGGCAGCACTCCAACCTTTTAAGTCCCCCCTCACTTCCCTAACTTGCCATGCTTAACTCCTCTCCTTTTTAATATAAAAAGGGAGGAATGTTGTAGTCCAGTCACACCTGGCCCTGCTGCTTGGGGACCTTGAAAAGAGTGCCCATCCCTGCTGCCTGCACCCTGGCTCTGTACGAAAGTACAAAGGTCCCTTTTTAAGAGAGAAGCTCTGCCTACTCCGCTCACTGCCATTTCTCTGAGGAGGCAGACAGGTCTGTCTATCTCTCTGTCCCTTCCTCCACTCCCTCCCCATGTAATCGTTGCCTGACGCATGCTCGCCCCCGCCAAGGGATCCTCCAAGGCCCCACCTGGTGCCACATCCCTAACATCATATTTGGAAACAGGCTAATTAGTAGCTGAAGATGGAACATGACATCAGAGTACAGATTTCTTTCCAATGGGCTTATAAAATTAGGATATACTTAATGTATCAAGAAGTTTGCCATCGCCGGGCGGTGGTGGCGCACGCCTTTAATCCCAGCACTCGGGAGGCAGAGGCAGGTGGATCTCTGTGAGTTCGAGGCCAGGCTGGACCAACAGCCTCCAAAACAATACAGAGAAACCCTGTCTCGCAAAAACCAAAAGAAAAAAAAAAAAAAAAAAAAAAGAAGTTTGCCATCAAGCTGGGTATGTGAGCACTCAAGACTGAGGCAGGACGATTGTCAATTTACAGATAGCCCCGGTTACATGACTTCCAGGGCAGCAAGTGCCTCCCAAGTGCTGGGATTAAAAGAGTGCAGTATCACACCTGGCCAGATTATAGTTATTGTAAAATACATCAATAATCTCAACACTAAAGAGTCTGATTCATAGAGATTACAAATCTAAGACTAGTCTGAGTTATATACCAAGACCCTGCTTAAAACACACAAACAAACAAAAAAGCTTATTTACCTTTACCAGGTCTTTCACAACATCCATTTTGTTAAGAAGAAGACAAACTACTATAAATCTTGCATAGTATCGGAGTTTCTTAACAACCAACTCAGGCCTACAGTGGAGAAAGGAGAAATCAATCATTATATTAAAAAGGAAAACATGCTGTTCTGACTTCTGGATGGCTTTTAAAACTTTACCATTTTTAGGACAGAGATTAAAAATTTCTACATCAAACCACACAGCCTTAACTTGGCAGGGTAACACATGCTTGTAATTCCACATCTCAGCAGGTAGAGGCAGGAAGATTAGGAGTTCAAGGTCAGATACTGAGTCCAAGGGCAACCTGGGTTATGCGAAACCATGTCTCAACAACCAAACCAGATAGCCTTTAAATACATTTTAACACATTAAATCATCATTCTATATTCAATACAAGCATCTATTGAGAATGCAAGTGCATAAGAAACAATGTTATGATGGGGCTGGAGAGATGGCCCAGCTGGTGAGAGAACTTGTTTCTCTTGCAGAGGATCTAGGTTCAATTCCCACCATTCACATGGTTCTCAATAATCTGTAAATTCAGTTCTAGGGAATCCACCCTTCTTCTGACCTCCTTGGATCTGAGGCATGAATGAAGTGCAAACACACACAAGCATGCAAACATTCTTACACATAAAATAAAATCTTAAAAACAGATAAATAGCTGGGTGGTGGTGGTGCAGGATTTTAATTCCAGCACTCAGGAGGCAGAGGCAGGCGGATCTCTGTGAGTTCAAGGCTAGCCTAGTCTCTACAGCAAGTTATAGGATAGTCAGGGCTACACAGAAACCTAGTCTCAAACTATCAAAACAAAACTAAACAGAAAACAAACAAGAAACCTCCCAAACACCCCCCAAAAAGAAAGAACAAAAACAAAACAGTACCGTGATGCTAAAAAAGGCAATGATTATAAATAGAGGCAGAAATCCCTACTTCATAGACCTTGCAGTAATTTCCTTATAGTAATTAAAATATAGTCAAGCAAATACACAAAACAGTGGAATAAATATGACCACAAAGATAAACAAACAAATAAAGGATGAGTCCTATTCTGATTTGAATGTGACGTGTTCCCACAAACTCCCACTATTGAATACTTGATCCCCAGGTAGTGGTGGATTTGGAAGGTCTAGGAGTAGGGCATTGGGAATATGTCTTAAGGGTCACGGGACAGGCCTCACTACTGCCTCAGCACTCTGCTTCTCGTCTGTCAGCTCAACATAACAAATCGCTTCCCAGGCCTGGTGTACCAAGGTTTCCCTGCCACGATGAACTATAACTGCACAGTGACAAGAAAAATAATAATATAAGCTCACAAGGTTGGATCTTGGGTGGAAAGAGGTCTTCCTAGAGAAGGCAATAAACTTTTAGGACTACAGGAAGAAAATTCTGTTTTTGTCTTGAAACCCAATTTTTCTGACATTAACATAACCAATAGCTTTTGGCCTCCTGTTTCTATGTCTATTTTGACCGTCTTCTTATTTAAGTGAATAGCATAAAGTTTTCCTTTCTGATCCCAATCTTCTTTCGTCTGATGTACATACACTATATACAGTGAATGTTGACATTGCTTTGGCTGAGTTTGGGTTGACCACTTGTTTGTACAAACTGGAAAACACTGTTTAGTTTTATACCTTATGTTCACACATGTGGAGATCAGAGCCTGGTTGTTAACTTATTGCTAATTTATTCCAAATAATATACTCTAGAAGATAACAAAGGGTTACAATAAAGTAAATGTTTGAGGTTTTTAAGCCACGGGATCCAAGGCCAGTTTCTATTCTGGCACTTTAGAAAATGTACAAAAAGAATACATAAGGCATTTTGCTGTTGCTTAAAACTATTTCTGCTTATATGTTTTCCTGTTTTTGCTTTGTTTTGAGACGAAGTCTTACTGTGTACCCTTGGCTGGCCTCAAACTAATAGCCATTACTATCCCAGCTTCATACATATTTTTAATACTAATAAAGTTGTCCTCTGACCTTCACATGTGCACATGGACACACACACACCGTAATAAAAGGAAAAGTATTTTTTTGTACAATTTCCACATGGACTAGAATGTTGAACGTCTTGTCATCTTTCTGAAAGCATAGCTGACACATACCTGTCCTCTTTATTAACTTGAGAGTAGTATGATCTCTGTCTGATTGCAGAGTAGAAGGAGAAAGCCTCATTCAGATAGCTGGTCTCAGATGTACGTAAACTATAAGAAAAAAATTAATATGACCCAAACTGTGTATTCCTCATGAGACACACCTGTTCGAGATTATCCTACTCTACGCAGGGAATGCGAATGACTGCCCTAACTCTGAGTCAGCTAAGTAGTAATCATGTTATCGTTCAACTGTCCAGCAACAACAGCAATAATAAAATATTTCCCTGCTGTTCCTAAATTTTTTGGTAGCCAACCAAAGCACATGGCCATTCTCATTCTCCTTGAGTATATCTGCTCCCAGGTCTAGACCTTCTATAACCTCTTCCTAATCCTCCATTACTTGAACTTTGGCCCTGCTTACTAACCCATACTACTCTTTGGGGGATTCTAATGAGCTATGTGGTCTGTTTGCATTTTTTAAAGAAAAAAATAATTTACTTTAAAATTTTTAAGGCCTTGACAATTACACACACACACACACACACACACACAATGCATCCTGGTTATTCTCTCCTCTTTCTCATCTTCCCATTCCTATTAAGTCTTACTTCCTCCTGTTCCTTTCCCATATTAACGACATGGTTTTGTTATGTTTAGTTTACCCAGGACCATATAGGCAACCATTACATTGGGACTATCTATCAGATCCTGGTGAGGTTACCAGTGAGTGTACTTTTGCAGCAGTGACAGAATTGTGTATTAGTAGAAAATGGCTCAGTAGTGAGTACAGCCCCCTGACCTCTTCTCCACTGGCTGCTAAAGGGCCCTTTTAAGTGCAGACCCAGTACAGACACCTGTAGATGATGAGGGTTCATGATTACAATGACTGTGTCTTATCCAGAAGACGGCACGTCCCAGCCCTTCTCCCTATCTGCAGGCTCACACTTTTCTCTTTGCCCCTCTTCAATAGCTCTATTCCCTGAGCCTGGAGGGACGGTATATCTTCTCCAGGGATGAGCACTCCAGTCACTCTCAGCACTATAAGAAAGGATTTGAAGACCTTGTTCTAGCAAAGAGGGACTTTAGTGGTGGGCATTCTGAGTGGCATGCCAACACCAGGAAGATGAGGACTTCTTATCTTTTTTGTTTTATTTTGCACACAGGGTATCTCTATGTAACTCTGGCTGCCTGAACTCTGTAGACTAGGCTGGCCTCGAGCTCACAGAGATCTGCCTACCTGAGATTAAAGGTGTGTCCCCAAACCTTTTAAATTCTAAAAGGCCCAAGTCTTTTGTTATTGATGTTACTCTGTGTTGAGATTTACATCTGTAAAGGAGATCTCTTCTTCCTTTCACTCCAAGGTGGGACTACACAGATGTGCCTATTTTAAGGATGCAAACAACTGTTAATTTACCTCAAATAACTTTTCAAACACAGCCAACTAGGATGAGTGGTCTAAAGAATGTTGAGGACATTCAAATATACATGCTATACACCATCAAAGAGTTAAAAAGTCCCAAGAACAATAAATCTATTTAGTATTTATCATTTATAAAAAACAACATCGGGCTGGAAAGATGGCTCAGAGGTTAAGAGCACTGACTGCTCTTCCAGAGGTCTTGAGTTCAATTCCCAGCAACCACATGGTGGCTCACAACCATCTACAATTCAATCTGGTGTCTATGTAATAAATAAATAAATCTTTAAAAAAAAACCAAAAACCAACATCAAATTCCTCAATTCTGGGCCGGGCGGTGGTGGCGCTCGCCTTTAATCCCAGCACTCGGGAGGCAGAGGCAGGCGGATCTCTGTGAGTTCGAGGCCGGGCTGGACCGATAGCCTCCAAAAAAACAATACAGAGAAACCCTGTCTCATAAAACCAAAAAAAAAAAAAAAATCCTCAATTCTGATAAAATGAATTACTGAAGAGAACACCCCACATAAATAACACTGCTTGTTTTATGCAAGGCCATTTTATGGTGCCATCTTGACCCATCTGGCCTGAACAAAATTGCATCTATAACTCACTGTCCTCTCTCCTACATGCTTTGTTTTAGCCAAAGTAACACTTTTTCCTTTCCATGTGTAATTCACTTACTAATAGTGGTAATACAGCTGCCCGATCTTGGAAGCGATTTCCCCTATTTGCCACCGCTTCAAGCCATACCGATTATCCAAGACTTGTCTGTTTAAATAGGAGACAAAAAAATAGAAATAACAAAACATAAATTTAAAAAATAATCAGTTCTGCAAATTCAAAGATATCATCTAATTAGCATAGTTTATGAATTATGAGATTTCAACATAACCATTCAACATAACATTTAAAAATGTTTCTCTATTGATTGACTGACTGGGTTACATCTGTGTGTGTACACGTGCATACAATCTGTGCACACATATGTGTGCCTGAACATGTGATTGTGTGAGTGCAGGTGTGTGTGGCAGTCAGGTGACAGCCCTCGGTGTCAGTCCTTGCTTCTTGTCTTCTCGGTCACCACTGTGCATGCAGACCAGCCAGGAATTCTTCTGACTTTGCTCCCCACCTCACCACTTAATGCTTCCACTGCAGTCTCAGTAGGTAACTAGGTAAGACTTTTCCTACTGAGTCGTCTCTCCAGCCACAGCTGTTTTCGGGGGGTAGAGAATTTCACATAGCCAAGATGTGTCTTGAAAAACTGTGTAGTGAGGATGATCATAAACTCTTGATCCTATTTCCATCTCCTAAGTGCTAGAATTACAGGTGTGCACCATTGCACCCAGCTAAAAAATATTTATTAAATGTCTACTAAAGTCAGGCATGGTGGCACACACCTTTAATCCTAGCACTTGGGAGGCAGAGGCAGGCGGATCTCTGTGAGGCCAGCCTGATCTACAGCATCAGTTCCAGGACAGCCAGGGCTACACAGAGAAACCCTGTCTTGGGAAAAGAAGATGTGTCTTGAAAGCCTGCTGCAATGGCTCACGCTTGTAATCCCACCACTCAGCAGGCTAAGGCAAGCGCCAACTGTGAGATGGCTGAGGCAAGAGGAATGATAGGAGTTTCAGGCCAGCCCCGACTTCTCTAGTGAGTTCTAGGCCAGCCTGGATATATATATATATATATAGAGAGAGAGAGTTTTCTATACTCCCACTGGGTCTGGGGGAGCACACTTTTAATATCAGCCCTTAGGAGACAGAGACAGACAGATCTCAGTGAGCTTGAGACTAGCCTGGTCTACAGAGATCTAGGTCAGCCAGGGCTACATAGTGAGACCCTATTTCAAAAAAAGAAAAGATGCAACACTTCCTCCACTCACATTTCAGAATGTGTTTTAGAATGAAACCCCAGATTATCTTCCCAGGTGCAAGTAGGGGTAGACCCTTCCATACAACACATTCATTAACAATCAGAGAACACATTAAAAATCTGAAACAGAAAAAACAAAAACAAAACAAAACTGTTTTCAATGCTCAGTGGTGGTGCACGCCTTTAATCCCAGCACTTGGGAGGCAGTGGCAGGTGGATCTCTGTGAGTTTGAGGCCTGCCTGGTCTACAGATCAAGTTCCAAGACAGCTAGAGCTACACAGAGAAACCTAGTCCCAAAAAACCAACCAACCAACCAACCAACCAACCAACAAGCAAGCAAGCAAACAAATAAATAACCACTAGATTTATACTTGGTCAGAACTGCAGCTAACATACAGTTACACAAGGCTCCTTTTTGCCCTTTAGCTATGAAACGCTTTACCGATGCTGCTGCTGGAACTTCCATAGTTTGGTGTAAACATCAAAAGTTCTTCCAAAGTATGACTGCCACTGCTTCTGTCCATACTGCGGCAAATCTCTGTAAAAATAAAGTGTGTTCATTTTAAATTTTTGGAAATTATCTCTTGTGATGTTATCAACTGTACCAATTAAATTACGTACATCCTGATTTTCTCTGTTAAACCAAGTACCAATTTTTGAAGCAAAAATAATTCTAGGGACCAGAACACTTGTTTTCCTAGTCTTGTACTAAATTATTCATCCTAGTGTCCTCTGCACACACCTCTCCCATGAGGACACAATCATGTCTTCACCGGTAAGTGATATACTTACTCGGGTACTGCTGATTGCCAATGTTTATCTTTAGCTAAGACAGCAGCAATCTAGAAACACTAGTTTAGAAAATACAGCCTAAACTAGAAGTGGGTGTGTAGTTGGTGCTATTCTATCTCCTTAGAAGAGAAACACATGTCCTTAAGCCTGCTGACCTATGGTATCTGCTTTAGAGAAAAAAAAATACTCCCTACTGTTTGAACATTGGGCCTAACCATACTATCTTGTTTAGGGCAAAGAATATAATTCTAAGCTATTCTAATCTTACTTCACCATCTGATCTGAAACTCACTACCCAATAGTGTACAATACAGAGAAGAGATATTTAATGGTTCCAGAGAGCCACAGACAGCTCTGGTAACAGGGCAGTTAGAAATAAATGCCCACTGTAGTAAGGCATGTAAATGTGGGATCATTTGTTATGGCAGCAGTATGCAAGAAAGGGTAGTATAAAAACTGGTACTGAGCAGGTTGCTGAGACCCTGGCATTGGGCTGAGGAACAGCTAACTATTTCCACTGGCTGGAAATGAGGCCATTGGTGGGATGGCAAAACTCTGCCTATTGTAATCTGCAATGCAGGCAATGTGACAAATGAACTTGAGGATCTACAAAAATAAAAGGCAAAAATAGAACATTACTAGCTAGTCTTGGGTTGTATAATCAGATGTACTGTAATAAAATACTCTAAGAAAAAGGTAAATTCTGCCTAAGGGGGAGGGAGGAAAAAGAATAAAAGTAAAGGTCTTTAAATACTTGAAAAAAGAGAAAATCTACAAATTCAAGGGATTTCAGTATTGAAAAACACAATTTCAAATACTTAGCTATAAGAAACAAACTGAGTTCGGCATGGTGCTACATGCCTGTCATCCCAGCATACAAAAGGCATCATGAGTTTGAGACCATACTAAGCTACACAAAGGGAGACTTGCTTATATACATAATAAACAAACAACAACACCCCCTACATGCACACACATACACACACAAAGAAACTCATCCAGAAGTGTTTCTGAAGACTCATCCTAAGAAAAAGTATAAGGTAAGAAAACAACAACAATCTCACAGACTAAACATATAATAATCTCAGGTCAGATTATTGTAATATTTGTTTTGTTGTGTAGCAAGAATAATAAAAACCAAGAAACAGTTACTGGGGTGAAAGCTGAAGATCAGAGATGTAAAGTGGCTAGGCACTAAAGAGTTCTCACCTCCACCAATGCTCAGACCAAAGGGGTGATCAATTAAACCTCACACTGCTCCCAACTGCAGCATTTCTTAGACTCACCGAGCTCCTGTCTCCTCCCACCTTACATTCCTCTCTAGTGCTAGGATTGAAGGTGTGGGATCCCAAGTGCTGAGATCATTTTCCTGTGAGCTCTGTTTCTCTTCTAGACTGGATCAATTTTGTGTAGCTCAGGATGATCTTAACTATGAGATCTTTCTGCCTGAGTGCTGGTATTAAAGATGTGTGCTGCCACTGCCTGGCCTCTATAGTTTGCTAGTGTGGCTAGCTTTGCACTCGATCTTCAGCCAAGCTTTATTTGTTAGATCATAAACAAAATATCATCACATTGTAGCTTCAATACAGAAGCTGTGGGCTGGTGAGATGGCTCAGTGGGTACAGTGCCAGCTGTTTAAGCAGAAAGATGAAAAGAGAGAATTGACTCCTCCTTTCTGACCTACACATGAGCTACATATCAAAGTATCCACATATGTAACAGACATACAGAATGATGATAATGACAATAAAAGTTGTATTTATTTATTTTTTCTTTTCTTTTTAAAATTTCTAGACATGGTTTCTTTGTGTAACAGTCCTGGCTGTTCTGGAACTCGCTCTGTAGACCCACCTGCCTCTGCTTTCTGAGTGCTGGGAATAAAGGTGTCACCATCACTGTCTGGCTGTATTTATATTTTTATTGTTGAAGGGAGCAGGCAAAAGCACCTTGGCCAAAGTGCTGCCATTTTGATTTCATACTCCATTTTACCTAGAGGGTGAAATAAAGTGCAGGTTCCCAAGCTCCAGGGGAGCTGAGAACTTTCCTGTAACTGAACCACCTCTCCTTAAACCTCAGAAATAGTCCTTATTCATCTTTAGTTCTCTAGACACATAATGGCTGTTCCTAATAACAGAGAGAACAGATGAATGTGACTGGTTGTGTTGGTTGACAAAGATGGAACACACACACACACACACACACACACACAGTTCCCAATTCTGACTGGTGAAAACTCTTAACTGTAACTTGGCGACAAATGTGAATTTTTATGCGTACAGTAGAAACAAGGCTCCTGAGTCCTTGTCCTGAAGTCCTGATTGAGTAGTGACAGTTTATGTGGTAAATTAATAAAACCTTTGGAACCATAAGTGTTCCAACATGGGTTAGGTGTACCAGTCGTACAAAACAGGGTTTTAAAGATTCATTCTGCATCCAATGTTGGGGTTATTGGAAGAAATAACAACGGAGATAAAAATGATTGGTTTTCTGCCGGGCGTTGGTGGCGCACGCCTTTAATCCCAGCACTTGGGAGGCAGAGGCAGGTGGATCTCTGTGAGTTCGAGGCCAGCCTGGTCTACAGAGCAAGTTCCAGGACAGCCTCCAAAACAATACAGAGAAACCCTATCTTGAAAAAACCAAAAAAAAAAAAAAAAACCAAAAAAAAAAAAAAACCAAAAAAAAAAAAAAAAAAAGATTGGTTTTCTAGTGTCACTAAGGAAAAATCACCAAACAGGATTTGTCAGTAAATGGTAAACACAAACATTATGTTTAGAACATAATGAACAATGATATATATAAAAAATACTTCATCATTCCAGTCTAAAGAATCAGCTGCTGGGCTATCAAGATGCCTTAGAAAGTAAAGGAAGTAAAGGAGCCTGTTGCCAAGTGTGATCTGCAAGACCCGCATGGTAGAAGACCTCCAACTCCTAAAAGCTGTCCTTTTACCTTCCCATGAATTACATGGCTTGTGAGCACTATCCCTTCCCCTCACCAAATAAACAGAAAAGATTTAAGAGTCAGCTATAAAACTGTCTTTCACAAAGTTAGGCTGATTTATTTCCTATATCCTTTTCCTAATGACACACATATTAGAAGGGCGGTGCACGCCTTTAATCCCAATTCTTGAGAAGTAGAAGCAGGCAGATCTATGTGAACTCTAGGCCAGCCTGATCTACAGAGCAAGTTCTAGGACAGCCAGGGCTACACAGAGAAACCCTGTCTCGGGAAAAAAAGCAAAACAGACAAAAACCAAAAAAACAAAACAAAACAAAAGAACTTTAGATACATTCTTCTAATATTTTGAAGCTGGATTCTGGCTTTTAACTCTGGATGCATCTTCTTGTAATTATTGCTTTCAATAGTGATGGGAATTAATGATTCATGGAGTTAAATTAAATGGCTCTGTGAATTAAGTGACCTTACTTTTCATTTTGCAAAGGCATTGATGTTCCCATCTGGCTGCTCATATTCTTTTTCTCAGGTTGCAGAGGAATGTGCAGGTGTGACACTAATCTCCTTTTAAATTTTCAGTGCCATCAACAGACATCAATAGAAGGCTGGGAAGAAATACCAAATAACTAACCTGATCCTTTTAAGTGGAGCCAGTGTTTTAAGCGGAGCTGTCAAAATTCTGGAAGTTTTTTTCAAGTTTCTATAAATCTACATGTTCACACACTTGAATGAGCTATGTTCACTAATGTCCACCTATACATTACTCCTAATGTCCACCTATACATTACTCCAGCTCTTCTCACTGCCAGTCTTCTGTGGTATGACACTTCCTTAATTCCTGACCACTTATGACTCTTCTGTTTTTTACAATGTCTTTCACTGGCTTCTCTTTTCTTAGTGTGGTCCTCAAATGCTTAAGTGTCTCTATTGTATGTGCTTATACACAAGTGTGTGTATAAGCACAAGTTTATACATACATGAACGCACCCATCCCTCCCCCTTCCCCCCTCCCTCTCTCCGTGTGTGTGTGTGTGTGTGTGTGTGTGTGTGTGTGTGTGTGTGTGTGTGTGTGTACAGTTGTAGTTGCTTGAGAATTGTGGCCAGCATGCTAGAATGCTAGGACTCAAATTCTAGCATAACCCCTCCTAACTCCTACTTCAATATATTCTATCTCTTTCTCCCCCTTTCTTTCCCTCTCTTTCTGTGTGGTGTGTGTGAATGAAATTGCTTAGGAATTGTGAACAGTATGGTATGACTAAAATTCAAACCCCTTCTAACTCCTAATTATTCTCTTTTTTTTACCATATAGGATAACAATCTATAATTTCTTTTATCGCCTTAGTACTAGGTAGTCTATCACTGAGCTATATCCACAGCCCTAAGTTTTCTTACATTAGCAGGAATCATATTGTTTTGTTCTTGAAGCAGAGTTGGAGCTTTAAGAAGATATTTTAAGTGAGGCAGTGGTGGTGCACACCTTTAAATCCAGCACTTGAGAAGCAGAGTTAGGGGGATCTCTGAGTTGTAGCTAGCCTGTTCTATAGAGTTCCAGAACAGCTAGATATGCAGAGAAACCCTGTCTAGAAAACAAGAAAACCAAAAACAACAACAAAAAAGATATTTAATACAGACTTAAATAAGAGGCAGAGACACATGGGCACCCTCCCCCAAGATCACAGATAGAGATTTTCTGAAGAAAGAGTCTCACACATTATTAGCAAAGTTCCTTTCTAAGAACAAATCTGTCCTCTTCCAGGGTTAGGGTGCTGCAGATCTCACACAAAACCATGC